GGCCGGGAGCAGGAGTTACTTGCCCCCCCCCCCCCCCCCGCAGCGGGCCGCTAGAGGCTCGCTCGCCTTCGTGCTCGGCCGCCGCGGCGTACAGCCACGCGGCGCGCTCGGCCACGTAGGCCTCGTCAAGGAGGGTGCATTTTCGCGTGTGCGACCCGTCCGTCCAGAAGGGCGCCGTAGGCATGCCGGTGTACCCGCCCGAGCACGCCACCCCCTCCTCCACCTCAGCCGTCAGTCGTTCGGAGGGAGACAGGCTCGCGCAGCCGCCTCCCGACTGCCACGGCACGTAGAAGAGAGAGGGCGCGGAGAGGCGAGGGAGGGCGCAGCGGGTCCCGCTGGCCGTGGTGTAGAAGGCCGCGTTCGGGTCGTTAAAGCAAACCTAGTCGGAGCGCGCCCTGGGGTTGGGGGGAGAGGCCCCGCCCAGAGAGCCGGCGGCTCTGCGCATCGTGTGGCACGCACCTCGCCGTAGTGCTCGCCACGGAGGATTTCGTTCTCCACCTCGCACATCTGCTGCAGCGCGGCCGGCGAAAACAGGTCCGCGTCGCGCCCGTCCCGCCACCGGTACATGAAGGTTGTTGTGAGGTTGCCAGTAGCCCTCTGACTGAGTGGCGTCCGCCCGCCGGCCGAGCCGCTCGCTTCGGACGGGCGAGCCGCTCGAGCGAGTCGGACCATGTCGTACTGATGGACCGTCGGCTTGCCGTCGACGAGCCAGTCGTACGTGCTCTCCTCAGCAAAGAGCTTGCCCTGCCCAAACCCGTCCAGCATCAGCAGCGCCCCGCCCGCGACGCCAAAGAGGAGCGAGCCGACGAGCGTGCTCCAGAAGACGCAGCAGTGTCTCCGCACGATGAGGCTCGCGTAGGACTCTACTAATCCCATCTCTGCCCTTCAACGCTCGTAGTCAGTGTCTAATACGGATCGGCCTTTGCTGCCGGGCCACCTCGGAGGTTGGGTTGGGTCGGTCCAGGAGCCTTCGCCAGGTCGTGTGAAGAGCACTGATGCCGCAGTGAGTGAGTGGTCCCGGGCCCTGCGGGGAACTAAGTCGGCGCAAGTTAGTCTGTGAGCTGGACGAGGGCTAGTGGTGCGCCGTGGCGGATCAAGTGGTGAAGTGCTCCCCCGGGAGTCGTGGTTGGAGGCCGGGACACTACGCGCACTAACTTAGTGTGCGGAAGTGAGTGCCTCCGACGGAATAGTGGACGGACGGAAAAACACCCCCCTTTTATGCCTGACCCGGGCCATAGCCTCTCTGGGGGTGAGCTGTGCCGGCCGCCCCCCGGGTCCGCCACTCGCACGGTGGGCTCGCGTCCGGGAGAGCATCCGAGACCCGCGGTTGTCCGCTCGCTGGGCGCGACCTACATGGAAATCCACTGCACACAGATCTGTGCTTTTGGCGCCTATTGCTCGCTCTCTGTGCAATCGCAACGCCAGAGGCCGTGCTTGGAGAGTGTGTCGCAGTGCTGCTACGTCAGTGGATTGAGCCGCGACGCAGGCTCCATCGGTGAGCTGCGGCGGCGCTCCGGCCGCTCCATGCATGCTCTCCGGCGAGCCGTCGCAAACGCGTTTCCGTCCGCCCGTTTCATCGAGTTTGCCCGAGTGGTAAAATGCAATCGAATCTGCCCGAGTGGTCAAGTAAAACTTTGCCTTTCGAAAGTTGCCCGAGTGGTCGAGTGGTCAAGTAAAACTTTGCCTTTCGTAAAAGTTGCCCGAGTGGTCTGTGGGGAAAAAACGAAAATCGAGACGGACTTCTTGAACGGCCGGGGAACACGTCTTCCTTACTATTATTAATTGATGCTTTTTGCACGGCTGAGCCCCCCCCCCCCCCCCCCTCCCCCGCGCCCACTCCCTGCCCTCTCCCGCCACGCACTCCGTCAGAGCCCCCTCCCCTCTTGCACAACAGGAATTTTGACAATTAACAAGGTGATGTGCGGCGCTGTCTCTCAAGATGGAAGCAGGAAGCTTCCATCCCGGCGGTGGTTCGAATCCACACGAGCCGAAGGGTGAAGGGGGAGGCAGGCCCGAGGTCTGAAGCTCACCCATTGTGGAAGTGAGAACTGCTCGGCCCACCCCTGATCCTGCTGAACAAGCTCCTCTTGTAGCTCGATCGGTCACACCGCCATCGCCGTCGGGGAGAGGGGGGACGACACTGCCTCGGCAGCGTGCACCTCGATCCTGTACCGTGTTTGTTATGACCCCTCCCGATGAACACACCAGTGAGGGAGGGCGAGACGATCGAGGGGTCCCGTACCACGCGGAATCGACCCTATCCAGTGCTCAAGTGCTCAAGTGCCTCCGGCCGGCCGGGGGGGAGTGGTCCAGCGGGCCGCTCGCAGTGCCCTTCGCCGGCGGACGGAGAGGTGGGCTCGGCTACCACGCGCACTAAGTTAGTGCGCGTAGTGAGTGGGCCGCCGGCGAGCGGGCTAGTGGGTGAGTGCCTCCTCGTCCTGCCACCCCGCGCACTAAGATAGTGCGCGTAGTGAGTGGGCCGCCGGCGAGCGGGCTAGTGGGTGAGTGCCTCCTGCCACCCCGCGCACTAAGATAGTGCGCGTAGTGGGTGGGCCGCCTTCTAGTGGTCGGCGAGGCCGTGGCCAGTGCCCCGGCCCTGCGGCGCCGCCTAGTGAGTGAGTGCTCGCCGACCCTCCCCACACTAAGTCGGCATGGGTGCTGTGTTTTTTAGTTGGCGAAGGCTCCTGGTCGGTCCCCCCCCGCGAACGCGAACCCAAGCAACGGATCCAGCAACCTTCGAATCGTTGCGCGGCCTTCGGGCGGGGCTGCGCCTCGGATCGCTGCGAGCATTATTACTTATGACGCGCAAGACAAAGGGTGGCTCAGGGCTCTGCCCGCAAGGCGCCCGCGTCGCCGACGCGGTACCATTGACTATCCCGGGATTCACACCCACACGACCAAATAAGAGGGCTCCCGCGGCGATCAACACCGCAACTCCTTTTCTACGGGGTGCAGGTGGTAGAGCGTGCCGTCGTCCGACTCCCAGCAGCTGATGACGCGCGAGATGTCGGTGTCGCGGAATTCGTGCGTACCGTCGCCGTTGGGACGGTCGTTGCTCGCGCCGTTGGGAAACGCAAGGCGCACCTTTTTGTTTTGAAGACCTCGATACTTAGCGCACTGCTCGGGCGAGAGCTCAAACACGTGCCGCGTCTCGTCTTCGCCGCCGGCTACGCGCACAGACACAGTGCGCGGCAGCGCCGACACGTCAACCCGCGTGTACGTCAGCGACGGGTCCCGCACGCCGCACGAGGCGCATGCGTGCAGCGGCAGCGCGTGCGCCATGCGCTCGTCGCTCCACTCGCCCAGCAGCCGCCGCTTCGTCTCGTCGGAGACGTGCACGCAGCGCTGCAGCAGCGCCGCCGTCTCGTCCTCGGGCCGCTCCAGGTCCATGACGACGTTCGTCGAGGCGTGGAAGCGCGTCTCCAGGTCGATGGCCGCCTGCTCGGCCGCGGCGAGCTTGCCCTGGTCGACGCACATGCCGCACACCGCGTGCGCCGGGCAGCCGCACTGGCCGCGTTGTGGGCGCACGGTCTTGGCGACCGCCGGCGCTGCGCGCCGGTCGTGCTGCTCACGCTGCCGGCGGCGCTGGTCGCGCGCCTGCCGATCGCGCGTGTTCGCGGCGGCTGCATCTCTTGCTCGTTTCGCTCGCACCCGAGCGGCTGTCGCCAGGCGCTTCAGGTCGGCGGTGCTGCGCGCGCGGCCGTCGGCCAGGCACAGCCACATGTCCTCCTCCTTAGCAGGCTCGCACGGCTTGCCGTCGAACTGCGGCTGGCGCCCGCGACGATGCTTCGCCCAGGCCGGGCACGATGGTGCCGCGACGAGCGGCGTCGAGGCGACGGCCATCGATGGGTCCAGAAGACTTGGAGACACTTCTACCAAAAAATCAAAAAAATCGAGCACAATTGCGTTACATGGGCATGGCCGGGGTTTCTGCACCGAACGATCTTACTTTCGGTCTACCTCATGTATCGTAGTTTTTGTTAGTATCATTTTTTCGGAGTTTTGGTCCTGATAAATTCGTGGCGCCCGCGGCGAGCCGAGCCAGGCCACGGCGCTCGGCCTGTTGAGAGAAGACCTTCCCGGACGGCAGTGAAAATTTACCCGACATCAATCGTCGACGGCAAGCTCGAGAACTGCGCCTCCAAAGTCGCCCAGATTCGCCTCTCGCGGCGCGCTGAGTTAGTATCGCCGGTGCGCCAGCTGGCTCTGCTCCACAGCAGGGCATGCCTGACTGGCTCCTGCTAGCCGTGCGTCCTGGTGGCATCCATTGCCAGCTCAGGTAGCCTCAGGAGGTCGCCTCGCGCACGACTCGGCGCCGCACAGCACCGCTCCGCGTTACTACCGAGTTAGTATCGTCGACCCACAGAGGCTGCTTCTCTGTAGGTGGAGCCGACAAACGCCGGCTGGGTCGGCCCCGCCGCCCTCATCGCCGCCGTCGGGGCGGCGGCGGCCTCGGCGGACCATCCGGCGCGCCGCGCGCCCGACGGGGAGGTGTTCACCACTCCTGGCTCCTCACCCCGCCACGCCTTCGTGCAGACGCCGTGGCACCCACCTCAGGCGCCGCTCGGACTCGGTCGACGGCCACCCAAGTGCTTGGCTCGTGCCCAGCCGACCGGCAGGCGATGCCCACTCACTGCTAGGCTAATCTCGGGCCTTCAAGCGGCGGTGTGGTGCCGTGAAGGGCACCGGGACCAAAACTACGATAGTTAGTATCGTGCGGGGGCAGTGCATTTAATTCTGTCAAAAATCCAAATCTGCTCCGTGGAACTTATTGGGCTAGGATCATACGTCCGGGAGGCCCCCCTTGCGTGCCGTAACGATCGACAGTGCTGGTACCACTCTCTTCACGTTCACAGGTCGTATCAGGACCATAACTCCGATACATGGGGTATCGAAAGTGTTGATCGATAAAAATCCATTGTGGGCTGCGAGTCGGCATCACCTCGTCCACAGACTCGTCGCTGCTATCGAGAGTCGACAGTCCGAGCGGCACACTCCCTGTGGACATGCTTGCGGTCCTCCCGCTGCTCGTCTCGACTTCCATCCGAGGCGGCTGCGTCGTCGTCACTGGAGCGAGCCGCGGTCTCGGCGTCGGCATCGCGAGGGCGTTTGCGACTGAGGGCGCGGCGACGGTGTGCTTGGTGGCGAGGTCCGAGGCGGGGCTGCAGAGCGTGTGCAGGGGGCTCGCTGCAGAGCATCCAAACGTCTGCTTCCATCCGATCGCGGCCGACGTAACCGATCCTGGCGGTCGCGCTCGCATCGTGCGTTCGGTCGAGTCGATAGGCCAGCGGCTGCTGCTGGTGAACAACGCCGGCATCGAGTCGTGGGGACCGTTCGAGCACGCAACCGAGGCGAGCGTCGAAGAGCAGGTCGCCGTCAACCTGCTCGCGCCGATGCTGCTCACGCGCGCCCTCCTCCCGCTCATGCTCTCCGCCGGAGGGGGCTCCGTCATCCACGTAGCGAGCCTGGCGGGCAAGCTGGGCTCGCCAAACTCTGCCGCCTACACTGCGAGCAAGCACGGGCTCGTCGGCTTCTCGCGCGCGCTGCGCAGCGAGTACGCCAGCCGCGGCGTCTCGAGTTGTGTCGTCTGCCCGTCGTTCGTCGACACCGCGCTCCTCGATAGCCTAGTCGCAAAGGCGGGAGGAGAGCGGCCGCCGTGGATCAGCACCACCACATGCGACGCCGTCTCTTCGGCCTGCGTGCGCGCGGCGCTGGGGGACGAGCCCGAGGCCCTCGTGAACCGCGTGCCGATGCGCCCGATACTCGCCCTGTACGAGGCGCTGCCGCGGCTGCCGCAGCTGGTCGACCAGGCGCTGCCCGGCCTGCTGGCCTTCAACCGGGCGTGCGGCCGGGACGACGAGGATGGCGACGAGCACAGCGACAACGATGGGGTGCGAGGCGGCGGCGGCGGCGGCGGCGGAGGCGGCGGCGGCGGCGGCGGCGGATTCAGCGGCAGCGGCGGCGGCGGCGGCGGCGGCGGCGGCGGATTCAGCGGCAGCGGCGGCGGCGGCGGCGGCGGCGGCGGCGGCGGGGTTTTGCGAGCGGGCCTTCTCTCGCGAGAGCGGTCGTGGCGAGCGCGTGGCTCGGCACGGCGTGGCTCCTCCATGCAGCGCAGCCCGTAGTTGCCGACGGCTTCGACGAGGCGCTCGCGCTCTGCCCTGCCGTCACGTGCGTCAGCTCGTACGACGCCTCGCCTGGCCGCTTTGCTGAGCCGTGGGAGTATGACGGCGATCGCGCCGACGCTGTCCGGCGCGTGGCGGCGGCGGCGGCGAGGTTCGGCGGCGAGGCTGCCCCGGAGGAGGCTTCGGCGCGCGGCACGGCGCTGCGCGTGCGTTTCCCCGGCAAGGGCGGCGCAACCCGGGACCAGGCGATCTTTTGGTTCCCGAGCGACGACGCGCTGGTTCAGTTTCGGTCGGAGAGGGTGGACGGCGCTCTCTGGGACGGCGCGGCCAACAAGATGCGCATCGATTCGATGCGTAGGGCGCTCGGGTACGCGCCCGCGCCGCTGGTGCGCAACCGCTTCTACCTTCCGGGAGAGCGTCGCGCCGACGGCACCATCCAGCTGCAGGAGGAGCGGCCGTACAGGCGCGCCGACGGCCGGTTCTACGGGGACCAGGGCGGCGGAGAGGGCATTGACGCGGCCGGCCTCGGTTCAGCAGGGGCGCTCAGGCGGATGGTCTTCCCGTTTGGGCAGCTGGGCGGCCGCTCGAGCCCCGCTCAGGCCCTGTACGACGACATCACCGATCTGGCGAATGTGCACGCCCGCGGGTTTGGGAGCGGCGACGCGGGCAGCTCGGGCTAGTGCCATTTCACTGTGGCACAACCCGCGTTACAAAACCTTGATTTTGACCATTGCGCGAAAAATGTACCTCTCGGTGCCTTCCAGTGGAAGCTGCGACCTCGCCGAGTAGACGGCGGCACACAGCAGGTGGCGCGGTGTGCCGCCGTCTACTCGGCGGGGTCGCAGCTGCCTCTGCGCGTCCTGGGGAGGTACATTTGTTGCGCGCCGGAGACGACTCGACGCCGCTGAGATCAGAGATCAAGCTCTGACAGGTCACACGTCGCTCCTTTGACGCCGACGTGACTCACCCGTGCAGACCACATCAGGACACGGTCTCGACGCGCTCGGTACGACGCCTGCGACCTGTCTCGGGTCAGGTGGCACGACGCTCATCGCGCCTACCAGCGCTGCCGTACAGGTTGCCACGACGAGGTCGAGCACGCTTCTATACGCTCGCCGAGCCTTCCTTTCCATCCCAGTAGGCAGCCTGGGAACGGTGGCGGTCAGAGGCAAAGCCTACGAGGGGTGGTGGAACCACATGTCACGGCTACTGCCGGCTCCACCCCACGATAGCCTCCGAAGGCTGACTTTGCGGCACCATCATCGGACGATGTCGACGAGTTGGGTCGCTCTCGCGGTAGCCAGATGACCTCTCTTCCTAGGATCATCGGCCATGGCCGCAGGAAGCGCGGGGGAGGGCGCTGGAAGCAACACGGAGCTCCGTTGGAGACGTTTTCAAGATTAGCGTGTCGTCAGAGTGAAATGGCACTAGCCTCGTCGCTGGGAGGGAAGCTGTACGGTCGAGACAGTAAGTGGTGAGCGTGGTCGAGAGAGATCAGAAGTTTTCGTTGAATTCTTTCTAAGAGTGTAAAATATGCATCACACACGTAAAATCGGTCCGTAGTGCGTAGACCGTACCTGTATACCTGTCACCTCTTCTTCTTTCTACTGCTCGGCGCGAGCACCTTGACAAAGGCCTCGTGCGGGATGGCCACGTCGCCGACGTGGAGAGAGGCGCGCTTCTTGCCCGCCTTTTGCTTCTCGAGCAGCTTCTTCTTGCGCGAGATGTCGCCGCCGTAGCACTTTGCGAGCACATTCTTGCGCACCGCGCGCACTGTCTCCCGCGCAACCACCCGCGACCCGACGGTGGCCTGGATGACGATGTCGTGCACCGTGCGGTCCATCTCCTCCTTGAGCGTCTGCACCATCGCGCGCCCAAAGTCGGTCGCCTTGGAGGAGCGCACGATGCGCGTGAGCGCGCCGACGGGACGCTTGTTGACGTGCAGCCCGAGCGGGACCACGTCGGCGGGCTGCTCGCCGTGCGGCTCGTAGTCGAACGAGGCGTAGCCAGACGAGAGCGTCTTGAGCCTGCGCGGGGGAGGGAAAGGCAGCCTCGACGCGAGTCCGCGCACCAACGTACAGCCAACTACGCGATTCAAGCGGAGTGGAGAGTGCTCAGAGCCTCGTTCCGCATCTACCGCCTCGGAGCCGGTCATGGAACTCGGTGGCGATCTCGGCCAGAGGGAGCGAGTACTGCAGCATCGCGTGCTCCGCCGAGAGGAAGGACTGGGAGAGGAGCTGGCCGCCGCTCTCCTCGCAGAGCGTGATGAGCCCGCCGACGTACTCGGACGGAGAGAGGATCGTGACCTGAGGGCACCGCCAGCCGCGCCGCACTCGTCACGTGCCCAACGCCGCGCACAACGCCGCGCACCTCGGCCGGGGGCCCTCGCGGCGGAGAGGGGCGAGCACCTTGACGAGGGGCTCGTTGAGGCTGACGAGCGCGTCCTCGAGCTTGAGCTGCGCGAGCGCCTCGGGCGAGCGGACCTCGAGCTGCGAGCCGTCCTTGAGCGTCGCGCGCAGCGGCACCGTCGGAGAGGTGAGAAGCACCTCCATGTCGTGCTCCTGCTGCAGCCGCTGCTGGACCACCTCGAGGCGGAGGGAGGGAGGCGTAAAGACGGCTATAGGCGTGGCGTCGACAACGTGGGAGCCCGGCGAGGAGTTAGAAGGTGAAGCGGGAGTGTGACCAGGAAGTGTCTAGGAAGTGACCTCGAGGTGGAGCAGCCCGAGGAAGCCGCAGCGCAGGCCCTGCCCGAGCGTGGGCGAGCTCTCCGGCTCGACGGTGACAGAGCCGTCCTTGAGGAGGAATCGCGACATGGCGTGCTGCAGCGCGTCGAAGCCCTCGCCCTCGAGGGGGTACATCCCGGCGAAGACCATCGGCTGCGGCTTCTGGAAGCCCGGCAGCGCGGGCTGCGGCGCGGCGGGGTCGGAGAAGGTGTCTCCCACGCTCGCCTCCTGGATGTGCTTCATACCGAGAGCGACGCACGCAACCTGCCCCGCCGCGAGGGCAGGCAGCGGCACCGGCCCAGCCGGCCGCATCAGCTCGATCTGCTGGACGGCGTACGTCTTTGCCGACGCGGCAGAGACGATCTGCGACCCGAGGGCGAGCGTGCCGTCGAGCACCTGCACCAGGCAGAGCACGCCGCGGTAGTCGTCGTACCACGAGTCGAAGAGCAGGAGACGGAGCGGCGCGTCGCGCCGGCCGGGCGGCGGAGGCACGCTCCGCAGCAGCGCGGGGAAGAGGGCGCCGCACCCCTGCCCTGTCTTCGCCGAGATTGGCAGCGCGTCCTTCTCGTCAAAGACGGCGCGCATCTGCGCCCTCGTGCCCTCGACGTTGGCGTGGGGCAGGTCGACCTTGTTGATCACCGGCACAATCTCGATCGACTGCTCAAACGCGAGCCAAAAGTTGGCCACCGTCTGCGCCTGCACGCCCTTGGTCGAGTCGACGAGCAGCAGCGCGCCCTGGCAGGCGGCGAGCGAGCGCGAGACCTCGTACGAGAAGTCGACGTGGCCGGGCGTGTCGATGAGGTTGAGCAGCCAGCGCTCTCCCTCCTCGTCCTCGTGCAGCAGCGAGACGGTCTGCGCCTTGATCGTGATGCCGCGGCTCCGCTCGACCGCCAGCGAGTCGAGCGACTGCGCCTCTCGCTCGCCCGGACGCGCGGCGCCCGTCATCTCGAGCATGCGGTCGGCTAGCGTCGACTTACCGTGGTCGACGTGCGAGATTATGCAAAAGTTGCGCACGCGTTCGGTCGGGATCTCTATTGCCACCGAAGCCAGCTCCTCCGCCTGTGGGCCCGCCGCGGCAGTGGCCGCGCCGCACAGCGATCGGCGAGCCGCGCCGCGCCGCACAGCGGCGGCGGCGGCGCAGCCGCCACGCGCAGCGCGCCGCATCGCGCGCGCACCGTCACCGCTGTCGGCAGGGCAGCGACGACTGTGGGAGGACGCCAGAGGGAACGAAAGAATTTTCGCGCCGCGCTTCCTAGCTCGCCGGCCCTGGATGTGAGGCTGATGACTGCACTCCAAGTGCTCCAAGTGCAGGCAAATCATCTTCGGTCGACAAATCATGGGTAGAAAACTCCTACAAGACGCTCAACACTCTGCTACGAAGCGCATCGATAGGCCCGCCCCTCAGAATGCCATCCTCCGCAAACACTCCCTCCGGCGCGGTCCCACGGGAACGGCTGCGGCGTCGCCCCGGTGTGGGGTGGACCGCGAGCCGGACCGGGGCCGGTGGAGGGGGGCGGGGGGCGTGTGGAAGGGGCGGTACATCCTGGCCGCTGCAAAGGGTTTCCCAGTAGTCGCGAGATGTGTGTGTGTGTGTTGCTCGGTGGTGGCCAATCTACTTGCTCCAGTTGAGGACGTCGATGCAGTTGAGGTCCTCGGCCGCCTCGCACAGGCGCTTGGCCATGGCCTCCTCGCCCGAGCGCAGCGCCATGCGGGGGTCGTAGTACTTCTTGTTGGGCTTGGTCTCGCCCTCGGGGTTGCCAATCTGGCCCTGCAGGTAGTCGTGGTACTTGGCCTCGTACTCGCGCACGCCGTCCCAGAAGGCCCACTGTGTGTCGGTGTCGATGTTCATCTTGATGGTGCCCGCCTCGATCGCGTAGCGGATGTCCTCCCGCGACGAGCCGCTGCCGCCGTGGAAGACGAAGCAGGTCGGCTTGGGGTCGCCGTCGCCGAGCTTCTCCGAGATGTACTTCTGCGTGTTGTGCAGAATCTGCGGCTGGAGGTCGACGTTGCCGGGCGCGTAGACGCCGTGCACGTTGCCGAAGGCGGCGGCCACCGTGAAGCGGCCGTTGGGCACCGACGACAGCTGCTGGTACACCTCCCAGACCTCCTCGGGCTGCGTGTACAGCCGCGACGAGTCGATGTCCGTGTTGTCGACGCCGTCCTCCTCGCCGCCGGTGACGCCGAGCTCCATCTCCAGCAGGATGTTGCACTTGGCCATGCGCTGCAGGTACTCCTTGCAAGTGCCCACGTTCTCCTCGAGCGGCTCCTCGGACAGGTCCAGCATGTGCGACGAGAAGAGCGGCTCGCCGTTGGCCTTGAAGTACTTCTCGTTCGCATCCATCAGGCCGTCGAACCACGGCAGCCACGAGCGCTGGCAGTGGTCCGTGTGAAGGATCACCGGCACGCCGTACAGCTCCGCCACCTGGCGCACGTGGAGCGCGCCGGCGACCGAGCCCGCGATGCAGGCGGCGTCGTCCGCGTTGTCCGCCGCCTTGCCGGCGATGAACTGGCCGCCGCCGCGAGAGAACTGGACGATCATCGGGCCGCCGTACTTGGCAGCCGCCTCGAGGCAGGACGAGATCGAGCACGAGGACACAACGTTCACCGCCGGGATGGCGTACTTGTTCTCCTTGGCGTGCTGCAGCAGGTCCCAGAGCGCCTCGCCCGTCACGACGCCCGGCTTGACCGACGCCGGCAGCGGCGTGACGGTCTTGGTCTGCATGGTGATCGTGCCAGCGCGGGGGCCGACATTCTGTGCGCGCGGGGGGGCGGCCGAGTCGGACGGAGGAGGGACTGAGGACGAAAGCGGCAGCGCAGAGAGAGCGCGAAGGCGCAGCGCGGCGCGGGCTGCCCCACACGTCCTCCCCGCGTCTGCGCCGGCGCATGGGCCGTGCCGCGCGCGCCGCTGGGCGCCACGCGGGTGCGAGTGCGCGCGGCGCGCACCAGGCCGGACACGAGAGCCGTGGCAGAGAACAGCATCGGCCCAAGCTGAGACAACGAGAGATTCTCAACCCTTCTGTCGAAGGAAAATAAAACGCCGGGCCACCCACATTGCTCAAGTTCAAGCCTAGTCCCGCTCTCGTTCCGGAGAGGGGAGAACTAGAGACTGAGGCGAGCACTGACCACTGAGCTCTGAGGGGGTTGGAGGTTATTTTGAGAGAGAGAGACCTTCCCTTCTTATTTTGTCTGTCTGTAAGAAGACGCTCAAGCTGTCGTTCCGCCGGCAGCCCAGCGTGAGAGATTCTCTCTCCCAGCGTGTCCCCCCCCCCCGGGACCGTATGTGTGTTTCTCATTCCTCAGGGCGGCGGACGGTCAGGGTCGTCAGACAGACCAGGAAACAGGATGTGGATGATGGATGAGAGACAAAGAGTGCAAGTCAAGAACTTTCTTTTCACTTTTGTGCGTGTTTTTCCTGCGCGTGTGCTTGTAATTTTTACCACCCGACAAGCCGCGGCGCGCGTACAGCTCTCGCCAGGCCGTTTCTCGCCTCTGCCGTGTCATCAGCGCCCCACCCGCCACAACCCACACGCCTCAGTCGTCGCTCGGCGAGGAGAGGAGCGGGAAGCAGCCGACGGCCGCCTCGAAGGTGTGGCCGTCGCCACGCTCCGCGCGAATTGCGCCCCCGATGCTGCCGTTTGGCGAGGAGAGGCTGGTGCCAGAGGCGTACTCGAAGGCGGCGCCCGGCGAGAGCAGCGGCGTCTGGCCGACGATGCCGGCGCCCCACTTGGGCACCTCTGCGTGCACGGAGCCGTCCGCGTTCCTGATCATCCAGTGCCTCCCCAGCAGCCGCACCGGCTCGTCGCTCTCGTTGCGCACACGCAGCCGGTACGAAAAGACCCACAGCCCGGCCTGGGCGCGGCCGCGATAGGCGGAGCTCGCCTCGACGCATAGGCCGCTGGTCCGCGCGACCGAGGTGCGCTGGGCGAGCGCGATCTGATCACCCAGCGCGCGCAGTGCGGCGAAGCCCTCGTCGAGCGAGGCACTCTCCGCGTCAGCAAACCTGCTTCTCGCGATGCGCGTGCAACGCTCACGGCTGAGCTCGAGCGGCAGCCCGTCGCCCCACAGGTCGTGTCCGCCGCGCAGCGCGCCGGCCTCATCGAGGAGGCTCGGGAAGACGCCTCCGATCAGCGTCGCTGGCGTCTCGTCGATCATCAGGTGCTGCGGCAGCGGCTCGTTTGCCATCCATTGCACCGGGCTCTCGAGCACCGGCTGCCTGATGCGCAGCGCAGCGCCGTCCGGCGTCGCCGCGCGGATCGCGCGGACTGTGGCGCGAAAGAGGGCCGTCGTGGCCATGATTCGCGCGCAGGGGCCTCGACGTTGAGCGAGCTTGTTGTGCTGCAGGCGCTGCAAAGAATTCTTAAGATACAAGCCTCTCTCACAGCACACTGGCACGACAAGGGCGCAGACTGGCGCGGACTGGCACACACACAGGCTCACCACCGGAGCCGCCTAAGCGACTCCGTTAGGCGCTGCAAAGAATTTTGCTTGGAAAGAGAATGTTACAACAAAACTCCCTCGTACAACACTGGGCACGGGACTGGCGCGCACTGGGGAAAGAGAAAGCGGAAACCTCGCAAGAACACAACGCACTCTCTCACGTTTCAAGGGACATTCTGCAGAGATGCAGGGATGAGCTCAGCCTCGGGAGGAGCTCAGGCGCTTAAGAAAGCGCCAAAAGAGGGGGGGGTGCCACAGTGTGGCGGAAGGGTGCCGCCGCGGTGCCCACCGGCGTCCGCAAGGAGCGCCGGCCTTGGAAGCCCGCCGAGCCAGCAGCCGCCAGGGCTGCCGCCACGCTGCCGGCCACGCCCGCACGCCCGCGCTCGCGCCCAGAAAGAAAACAGCAGCAAAGGAGTGAGTGTGGTGTTAGCCGTCGCCCACCCTAGATCTAACCCTTGGTCGTCTGCCTCTTTCTATCTCCCTTCGCAGTCCCTCGCCGATTCTCGCGGAGAGAGAGAGCGATTTTTAGAAGCCAACAAGAAATGTGTCACACACAGTGATTTGGGCTCGGCAGCTTGTCGACTACCAGCCGGAGCCGGAGTCGGAACCGTAGCCGAGATGGTCGTCAAGGGTGTCGAATATGTCATTCGCCTCGCTAGTAGAGCCGGTGCCGCATGACCATGAGTCTTGGTCGGAGGAGGAGTCGTCGGAGGAGCGGTCGGACCGCTCGCGCTTGTCGCGCCTGATGCGCTCTGCGAGGGGGCCGGGGAGCCGGGGTCGTAGTTGTCGTGGCTGCTCGAGCGTCGGGTAGGTAGCGCGCCTTGCGACCCTTGTCGGCCGTGCTGCCGTCCCAGTACAAGGTGTACCAGTCGCCGCGAGGGTAGTCTCGCTGCAACCTTCATGCCACCTCGCGGTCGTCCCACTCTCGCCGTTCTCCCTCCTGTCGTTTCTTCCTCTGTCGCGTCTTACTGGGCTGGGTTTTTAGGCATTGTGGGGTTGGCACTCCCATCGACCCTCATGACCTCCTGCGGTCTCTGAGATGGACACCAGTGGGTGTGGGACCACAACCAGGATACACTCGAAGGCTGGGTAAGCAGTAGAGATCGATACTCGACGCGTCCCACATGGTCTGTGTCGCTGTCGGCACGCTGTCGACAGGACGTCAAGCGACACCGGTGGCAGTGCCACCCAGGAGTGGTCGGGCGGTCTTCCGTCATGAGAGAGCCACCATGTGATCCGTATGATGATTCCTGACAACCGCCTCAGTCAACTTTTGTCACAGTTCCCGCTCTTAGAGGAGCTGCGGGTCAGTTCGACAGCTGGAGCTGTGTCGCCGGCGTGCGGCGGCCTGCCTCCGGAGGTGCCTCTGAGGTGGACATTTTTTGGTCACCGTGAGAGAACGCGTTCGAATTTTTACTCCGGAACTTCAACTCCACACGCGCACCGGCCAGGGCTACAATAGTGCCAGTGAGGCGAAGGCGCGAGTCGGAAGGCCGCGACCGTCAAGTGTTCCCGTCATTTTCCTACAATCGCTGTGAACCCAGCCACGTACTACAGACAGACAAAATAAGAAGGGAAGGTCTCTCTCTCTCAAAATAACCTCCAACCCCCTCAGAGCTCAGTGGTCAGTGCTCGCCTCAGTCTCTAGTTCTCCCCTCTCCGGAACGAGAGCGGGACTAGGCTTGAACTTGAGCAATGTGGGTGGCCCGGCGTTTTATTTTCCTTCGACAGAAGGGTTGAGAATCTCTCGTTGTCTCAGCTTGGGCCGATGCTGTTCTCTGCCACGGCTCTCGTGTCCGGCCTGGTGCGCGCCGCGCGCACTCGCACCCGCGTGGCGCCCAGCGGCGCGCGCGGCACGGCCCATGCGCCGGCGCAGACGCGGGGAGGACGTGTGGGGCAGCCCGCGCCGCGCTGCGCCTTCGCGCTCTCTCTGCGCTGCCGCTTTCGTCCTCAGTCCCTCCTCCGTCCGACTCGGCCGCCCCCCCGCGCGCACAGAATGTCGGCCCCCGCGCTGGCACGATCACCATGCAGACCAAGACCGTCACGCCGCTGCCGGCGTCGGTCAAGCCGGGCGTCGTGACGGGCGAGGGCCGTGGTGTAGTCGGACCCACCGGTCGGAGGCCCACTGGTCGGATGTTGGCTGCAATCGTGCGCCGGGGAGCAGCCCGTCGCGCGCCATCTCCTCTCGCGCCTGCATCAGCTCTGTGTTGAGTGTGTGGCGCGAGAGGTTGCCCTTGAGTGCCCCCACCCCGTCGGCACGCGAGAGGAAGAGGTAATCGTACACGGCCTTGCCCTGCTGGCAGTTCTTTCCATCCCTCCCGCGCTGCGCACGGTAGACGCGCACCTGCGCGGCGCCGTGCAAATAGGCCGAGATCCAGACATCGTCGTGGTAGAACCACTTTGGCGAGTAGGTGAGCGCCTGCGCTTCGCAAGGGGCAAAGGGAGATCTCGCGTTAGCCCGGCTGGCACCTCCTCCCTCTGGCTGGCACCTTGTGGTAAAAGGCCTCGATGTCGTTGAGCACCGCCAGCGGCATTGCAAAGAGATCGACCCCTTGCCCGACCTGGGAGGACGGCGGGGAGGACCGCCGGCGGCAGAGGCGTGAACTGCTGCGGAGAGGCCAGGGCTGCCGAGGTGTGGCGAGGGAGGGCTCAGCCCGGAGGCATAACAGGGCGCGAGGAGCTCCTCACCACGAGCGGCGCCGAGCGCGTGAGCGGCGGAGACTCGGCCGGCGGACTGAGCACGTAGACGCAGAAGCTCCACGCGCGCCTGCATCGAGAGCGACGACAGAGCATTACGGGTCGTGGGCCACGGAGGTGCTATCTCTCTGACCTACTGCCCGCCTCAATTCCTCGGCGGCCGGCGTCGCTTTGATATGACCGGCGAGCCACTGCAGCGCGAGCGAGTCGTACGCCACGTCGTCGTCGAAAAGCACGAGCCACGGCTCTCGGCGTCGCAGCCCTCTCGTGGCCGCGAGCCTGCGTGCGAGCGGCAGCGCGGCGAGCAGCTTTGTGCCTGGGCCCTCATCGTCGGCGGTCTGCACGTGCAGGTTGGCTCGGCCGAGGCGCTGGGCATGCTCTGCCGCCGCAGCAGAAGTCCACGCATCCTCGCGACCCCAGACTGTCCGCCGGTACGTCTTCGGGAGGGAGAGGATCACCTCGTCTGGGCCGCGGGTCTGGTTGAAGATGGAGGCGAGGCTCACCTCGAGCGCACTCACGCTCGTCCCGCCTCGTGCATAAGAGGCAAGTCGAGGGTCGGGCGCCATCCTCGATGGCAGGCTGCTGGCGGCGAGGATGAGGTAGGGCTCGTGGCTTTGCATCGGGGCGGAGGGGGGAGAACGGGCGGAGGGGAAGTACAATCACCTCGCGCCGAATGTCGGACTGCTAGCACAGCAAAAAAAGAAAATTTGCCTTTGTTTGGCGATCGTGCGACTAACTAGTTGGACTACGGTGCGACACATGGTCAGCACGCGCCGCCGCTCCACCTCAACTAACCACGCTAAGCTACTCGACGTCCTTCCATCTGACCTGCTCGGCCTCATCCTGAGCTTTCTCCGCGCCGACGAGATGGCTGTGGCGGCAGCTGCCTGCAGTTCGCTCTCGGCGCAGCTCACGGCGGCAGTGCGGGCACGTGTGATTCGTCTCGGACACACACTCCCACCGCTACTGCCGGGCGAGGTTGTGACCGCTGCCCTCAGCTACACCGAGTTCTGCGCCTCGAGCCAGCCCGGCGTCACTGTGCCGCTGCGCTGCTGGCCGCGCCCACTCGTGCTGCGGATGAGAGGGTGCGACCTCCCCTACGACGACTGCAACGGCGACTTCGTCGAGACTGGCCGACGCCACCACCGGAGCTTCTTCACCCGCACCACCGGGGCGGGCATCCTCTACCACACCGCTGGCCGCCCGTGGAGCAGGCCGGCCACAGCCGGTTTTTGGAAGGTGAACCCGTCCCCACCCCCAGGACTAGCTCGTGGAGAAGGTTACCTCACCAGGCCTTGCCGTAGGTGTGCCGCGACGGCGGGTGGGCGACCTGGCGGGGGAGCGGGTACAATGGTTGGAACTTCTCGCAGGAGGGCGGCTCCGTCCTGCCTCCGCTGGGCAAGTGGAGCACTGACAGAGCCGACGCGGAGACACCCGTCAGCTACGCGGCCTCCTTTCTCGAGCTCGTCCCGTACGACGATGCGATCCACCGCAGGCAAAAGCTGTCGCGCTCACCAGTGGGCGAGGAGGAGGCGCTGCTCGAGCGAGCCCAGCCGTGCCAGGGGATCCAGCTGCGCTCCCGGCTTGTGACCACCTTGCCAGTGGTGTTTTGAGAGTGAGACACGTCGTCTCAGCCCTCGTGTGGTTTGGGGAGTGAGATACGTGTATGTGATGATAACACTAGGACGACATGTGATGTCGTCGTAGAGAAACAAAAAGGCTCGAAAATAGCTGTGGAGGAGCGGGGGGGCGGGGGGGGGGCGGGGGGGCGAGCCGAGAGATCTCGTACCGCGGATGTCGGAGCCCGCCGCGGAGCGAGGAGATGGGTTCTGCGTTGCGCGCGCACACACCAGCCACCGAGGCAGGGGGAGAGGGTTTGCGCAACAACAGGCCGGCCGTCTCGGTCACGCCGTGCACGTCGATAGCGCCGCCAGCTGGTCCGCCCGCGGTGGCCGGTGGGCGGCTCGAGCGTCTCCAGCTTGCCTCTCGCGCGTCCGCCTTCGTGCTTCGACAGGCCGGCCGTCGCGGTCAGTCACTCGAACACACCCGGAGGCGGACCTTTTGAGTGTACGTAGTACGAACGAAGGCGGTGTGTGTGTGGCTCTTACGAACATAACAATTACGTGTGAGTGTTAGAGTTGTTTGGTATTGCTAAAAATCGGCGAACATACATGCACACCCGCGAGGTGTATTAATGAGTGTGTATGTCTGGAGCCCGAACACACCTGGAAAGAGTTTTTTCCGTTACTTTTTTATCCGTGTGCAGCTCTTGGAATACGTTGTTGTTGAATACGGTAGAACGCGTTTTGGGGACATTTTCGACGCCTTGTTCCAACGTGTATGTTGAGCCCATTGTACCCCCATCACGCATCAGCGGCCTGTCGCTGTAACAGACATGGCAGCCGTGGCCCCCAGCAAGGGCGGCGGCGGCGGCACGGCCATCGCAGCCGCGATTTGCGCGCTCGTCGTCGGGTTCGGCGTGGGAATCGGCGTGGGCTACTCGATCGGCGATGAAGGCTCGTCATCCTTGTCATGCCAGGATGCGGCCAAGGACGCGGCGTTTGAGGCGCAGCTCGGGGCAAAGACCGCGCAGCTCATTGCGGAGAATGTGCACCAGGCGCAGATAAAGAGGAAGGAGCTCACAGAGCCCTCGCGCAAGCTCAACTTCGCCAGCCTCCCGCCGGACGACGAGCTCATTGAGATGGGCGAAGCTCTTCGTACGATTGCCGCGCTGCAGGCGGAGGTGGCCACGCTCAATGCGCAAGCGTCGACGTGCATCCTGACGAGGCGGAGGAACATCTCGAGCACGATGCTCGACGTGCTCACGGGCTCACGCGCGATCGGCCTCTCCTCGTCGGGCACGGGGGGGATCAGTGACTACTGCGCCTCGTTGATCGAGTTTTCCGAGCTGGACGAGGCCGAGCAGAACACGGAGCTGTTCGGCAATTCCGACCCGGTGTCCAACGGCGCGACCTCGAGCGACGCGCGCGTGACGGCACTCATGAGAAGTATGGGCGGCATGTCTGGCAAGGGCACCGGCAAGGGCACCGGCAAGGGCGCTGGTAAGGGATCCGGCGGCGTTGGCGGAGGTGGTGCTGGCGGGGGTGGACCGGGAAGCTCAACTCGCAGACGGCGAACGCGATGGAGGTGGTGCGGGCGCAACAGGCCGCGAAGGAGCGGGGAGCCTTCGACGAGGCGGCTCTCAGGGCGAACGAGGTCGCGGGAGCGCCGGTGAAGGCCTCCTCCACCATGGTCGCGAGCATCTTCGATTCTCCACGCGGGGGCAAAGATTGGCAGATGGTGCAGCGGCGCGAGCAGCGGAAGACCCAGACCGGCGCGGGCACTGCCGCGCAGGTTGTGGAGAGCCTGGAGATGGTGGCGGCGTCGGCAATCGAGATGTACAGGATCCCTACAGTGTAACTGCCCCGCCCCCCGGGGGGGGGGGGGGGGGGGGGCGAGCTTGGACGTGCCCGACAGTGCCCGATTGAGAGCGATAGTGGCAGCGACAGCTCTCAGCTGGCTCGGTAGCTTGGAGCACTTGGAGTGCAGTCATTAACCTCACATCCAGGGCCAGGGAGCTGAGAAGCGCACCCAGCGAGCCGGATGATCGGTATCGGGCTACGGGCTAGAGAGCCCTGACCCCTAGCTAGGGGGGGGTGCGCGTTCGCAGGGAAAGGGCCGTAAAGTAAACACGCACGGTTCCCCGAGGGTTGGTTCTGCGCTTTGGGTGTCCCCTAGCGGCGGAACGCCCCCTCTACTCGGAGCTAGTAAACACCAGACACAGGCATGACGTACACTCTCACCCGACATCGCCACTCAGGGCCCCTCCGCCCGATCTCCCCACCCCCCATCCGTAGAAACGCCATGAATTCCTATGCTAGCAGCCGGAACCCAAAAATCAACATATGGCGCGAACCGACGGCATCTCGCGCACGCTCCGCGCACCTGGCCAGTTCGAGCTCCTAAACGTCACGCCCGATGGCGACTGCTTTTACAATGCCGTCGACAAGCTGCTGCCTGAGTCGCCGCGCCCGCCAGCTCTTGAGAGCGCGGTGACGATGCGTGAAATGGTCGCCGACTCACTCACTGAGGAAATTGTCGACCTGTACCGCATGTGCGCATCGGCCGGCGTGGAGGACTTTGCCTGGCTCAACCACCACCGCGCGCCGATGACGCTTGACGAGGTGCGCGCCTTTGCGCGGAAGCGCGGCAGCGAGGAGGGCGCAGGCAAGTGCCTGTGGGCCGACGAGCACGCGATGCGCACCGTCGCGTCGACCGCCGACGCGGTGCTGCTCCTAATTGACGAGCAGGCGCCCTCGTCCGGCAGCCGCAGCGGGAGGCGGCGCGGCGACGACGCGCGCGGCGAGGACTCGCGCTTTGTGATGCTGGGCGACATCGAGCCGTCGGCGCAGGACTCGCCGGGCGGAGCGCTCACGTCGCCCGCGCGCTGCCTGATCCTCCACCGCTCGCGGCGGCAGCACTTCTCGCCCGTCCGCCACCGCGGCTGCGGGCTCATCGACATCATGGCGCTCCCGGAGGAGACGAGGGCGCTGTGGCCGCGCCTGCGCACCCTGACCTGCACGGCCGCATCGCCGCCTGCGGCGGCCGAGGAGCAGAACAAGCGGCAGCGCGGGCGCTAAGCGCGCGCGGTAGGTGCGCAGCGGCAGCGGCGGCGCGTTGGCGGCGCGGCGCGCGCGGCCATGCCTGCGCGCATCCGTGAGCACGGGCAGCAGCTCGACGAGCGCCTCTTCTAGTCGGGGCGTTGTGCCCGGAGCCGCACTCCAGTCCGGACTGCACTCTCGCGGGCGAAGTTGTACCGTCCCATGGGCAATGCTCGCTACGGTTCGCAACAGCCCGGGGATCGCGCGCCGATCGTACAGTACGCAGTGCGGCGTTTGTGGGGTTGGCCCTGAGCGGGTTGGTTTCCTCTTTTCGTCCGGATATGGTTTTTGTCGTACGCTCGCGTGTTGAACACATGTGTGTGATCTCAGAGTTTACAGACGGGCTCGAGCCTCTCAGGTGAGCGACACGGCGCGACACACCATATACTGAGACACTGCAGGGGTGTATAGAATAAAGCCGTAGAGCGTAGTCTGTATAGTGTTGTCATCTATTGTAGTGAGGGCTATCTGGTCGGCGCTGCCTCCACAGGCCCACCAAATGGGAATGCGTGCTTCCCGACTGACACAATCACCCTGAGGCGAGCTGGGGGGCTACATCCAGTTTGCCCGTAGCCTCGCAAGCGGCTGCTCCGCGATCAGCCGCTCGATCAGTTCATCAGACAATCTGCGCGCCGCCGCCGGCGTCGCTGAGGCGAAACCGAGCCTCATGTTGTCCATCCGTGTCATTGGTGCGCATGACCATGTACTCGCGCATGCACTCTTGCAGCACGTCTTGAAACGTCGCGAAGGTCGCAATGTCGTCCTCCAGCGGCTCTTCTCCGTCGGCATGCGCCATGGGGTCATAGTCGGAGATCTTGGCGAGGACGTATTGGGTGGAGACCGCCACGCCGTCGATCAAGCGCCACTCGAGGTAGACGGTGTGCACGAAGAAACCATGGTGGTCGGACTGCTCGCCCATGTGGGCGATTTCGAAGCGCACGCTTGATTCCGTCCGCTTGATGGTGGGCGAGCTCGCTCCCAGCTCGCGCGGCTCGCCGGGTGCGGGCACGCCGTGCCCAAAGCTCATGCCCGGCAGGCCAAACATCGGCCGAGTTCGAGCGGTCCAGTGCATGTGCTGCCTTAGCTCCCCGAGCGGCGGGAGGGCGTCCTGGCCCTGCGACTCCAGCTCAGGCTGGCAGGCGGCCTCCATGAATGCCACGTAGCAAAGCGGCAGAGGACAGCCGACCTCCCTCTCGAGCCGTTCGAGGTACCGGTGGACATCGGGAGTGGATGATGGCGGGCGCTGATTGACACGCTGCCGCAGCACAGGCTGCTGCAGCGCAGGCTCTGTGACCCACGATGCAGCCGGGTTGGCTGGGCGCCCAAGCTGAAGCGGGTGGGGACGCCACACAGCCGCGTACAAAATCAAGCTCTCGCGAAGTTGCTCGACTTGCCGCGCATATTCGAGGTAGGCGCGGTGTAGTTCCACCTCTGCGGGATGCGTCTGAGACAGTCCGCGCCAGACGTAGGGGCTCCCATGGGCGGCGGCGCTGAGCACGTGCCAGCCGCGAGCGATACCGAGGAGAGGCAGTATGTCCAGAGGGTGCCAGCCGCTCTCTCGGCACCACTTGAGCAACGGCTCGGCGACCGCAATGTCCATTCCGTCGCGGCGCAGCCACAGCAACCCCTCGGCGATAGGTCGTCTCGCACACTTGCGCGGGGGTCGCCGTTTTTATACCAATCCAATTTACCGTCGACGAGTACCTCGAGTTGGACTTTTTCCGCTGTTTCTTAGGTGTATTGGTTTCTAGAAAAGAAATAATGGTACCAGAACAAGAAATTTTGCCTGACTCCCAGTCCCTCAGGCCCTCCCCCCTCGCTTTTGCAAAATCCTGCAAAGGTGGGGACGTGTCTGTCCTCGACCCAGCCCTAGCTTGGGATGTCCGTTGTATTCAGCCTCACATCCAACCCGCTTTTTCTTTCTTTTTCAGCAACAGCAGCTTTGCGGTCGGCGCCTGGGACTATGTCCGCGTCGGACGTCGCTCGCGCCCTCCAATCCTTCCGTGCCGCTGCGAGCGAGAAGGGCGCCTACGATGTGCAGCGGGACAGCGCTGCCACGTTGCTGCGCTGCCTCGACCGTCACTTTGGGTCCTCGGTCGGTGAACCGCCGACCGCCGCAGTCGTCACAGCTCTGCACACGCTACGCACGACGTTGGATCGGCTGCTCGTCAACATTTCCTGCCGCATGGCGCAGCGTGCGTCAACCCTCCCTCCGATTCGCGCCTCGCTCGCCGACACGCGGAGGAACGCCGCCGTGCTCTGCCGCCAGCTCGAACGGCACTGGCCAGAGGCAGCGCCACCGTCGCCGGATGCCGCGCCGTCGCCGACCGCAGCACCAGCCGTCGCGACTCACCCGCCGGCGATCGACGGGTCTTGTCCGCTCCTTTCCCGTTGCGGCCCGCGCCACCTCTGCGCTTACGGCTGCTTTTTTGACGCCTTCGAGCCGGCGCGCCGGCTGCAGTCGCTGCGCGCCGCGCTCGAGGCGCGCGGGGCGACCGGTGCGTGCCTGGACGGCTGGCGCGTGGAGCGTGTGCGCAGCGGCGCCGGCGCCTCCTCCTCGCCGGCCCGTGGCGATGGCGCGGAGGGCGGCAAGCGGAGGCGGACCACGGGGTGTGCCGCTTCGCCAGGCGCCACCACCTCGTCCTCCTCCTCGTGGCACTTCGTCTCACCCAGCGGCGCGACCTTCGCCTCCGTCGGCGCGGCGGTGCGCGCCTTTGCCGATGGCTCGCCCTCGACAAGCGGCGAGCGGCAAGGAGGGCCGCGAGGGCTCGAGGCGCGCTCGGTCTCTGCAGAGAGCGAGGACGCGGCGGCGGGCTTGCGGCGGGTCACCTCGCCCTACTTCAAGGACCGGCCGCCGTCCGGCGCGGTGCAGCCGACGCCGCCGCGGGCTCTCGGCGCGACGGGCGCGGGCGGGCGGGCGAATTGGCGGCCGCCGCGCTCTCCATACGGCTTGCTCGAGGCGCGGCGGGAGAGAGGGAGGGGCAGCGTGTGGAGGAGGGGCAGGCGGGGAGGGGGCGCTCACCTCTCTCCCCTCCGCCCCGAAGGAGCTCCTCTGGGACCGGCCGTGGGCCCTCCTCCTCGCTTGCATCCTCCTCAACCAGACGACGCGCAGGCAGGTCCCGCTGCAAAGAGGGAGAGGAGGGGAGGGGGAGGGAGGCGGGCCGCCCCGTCCCCAACGCGCCTGGCGCGGCTCCAGGTGGACCCGGTGATGGCGAGGCTGCTCGACGCCTTCCCCGACGCGCCCTCGCTCGCCGAGGCCGAGCCAGGGGCCGTCGAGCCCATCCTCCGCCCGCTCGGACTCCACCGGCAGCGCTCGCGCTCGGTCGTCGCATTCTCCGCCGCGTTTGTGGCTGGCGGGTGGGCGCGGGCCGACGCGCTGCCGGGGGTGGGGAAGTACGGACGAGACGCGCACGCCATCTTTTGCGAGGGCCGCTACCGCGAGACGCAGCCGGAGGACTTTGCGCTCCGGTGGTATCGCTCGTGGCTGCTCGCATTGGATGTTTAGCAATACAATACCTCCAAACAATAACAAAGCTAGCTGGTGCTCTCGCGCAGCTCACGCAACCCGGCCAACCCGCCACACACAAGTGTGTCAGTGTTTAAAAACAACGCAAACTAGCAATCATTTGTTTGATTGCCAACTCTCTCTCAGCTCTCTCAGCTCTCTCTCTCTCTCCGTCTCTCTCTCTCTCTCTCTCTCTCTCTCTCTCTCTCTCTCTCTCTCTTTCTCTCCTCTCTGAGTACCTGGCGCCGACAGAAAACGTGCGTACGCCCCCACTCTACTCTCTAGGTCTCTACGTGGGCTTGTGTTCGGTGCATTCGCTTCACACCGTATACATCTCGGTTTACCCCTCGCCCAGGGATCTACAACGCTCCTTAAGTCCACCAATAAATAAACGGACATCCCAAGCAGGGCTGGGTCGAGGACAGACACGTCCCTTAAAGTCCACGAAGAGCGTTTCTTTCACCCACAGCGTCTCCTCCGGCGCGGCTCTTTCGCTGATGACGCTGCAAGCCGACAAGGACGAGCTGAAGGCGCGGCTTGGAGTCGACCTGCTGCGCGTGCAGGAAAAGGAGCTCGGATTCTATCAGGACCGTCGCCGCCGCCCACGCCGCCGCCGCCCCTCCACCGCCGCCTCCCACGCCGCCACCGCCCTCTCCACACCAGGAGAACTTGGCGATGATCGGCCAGTACGCCGCGCTGCTCGCGGGGTTCTCGTTTGCAAACCTTAGCAGCCACGAGCTGTCGGCGCCCGAGGATGGCCTGCTGCCTTACGGCGCCCGCCTGGCCCTCGGCCTGGAGCCCGGCGACGACCCGGACGACCAAGGCGTCTTGGGCTGGAGCTGGGCCTCGTGGCTGGTGCAGCTGCTGAGCGTGCTGCACCTGAAAACCTCGGCGGTGGGAATGGTCTTTCACCTTTGGTGCATGTCTATCGCCGCGGTCACCACCATCCTCGGCGCAGGGCTCGCCCTCAAGGGCCCAAACGAGCAGGCCGTCACGACGGCGACGGCGCACTTTGCGGTCCAGAGCAACGAGGCGCTGCACCACTTTGCGCAGGGCCTCCTCTTCTTCATCTGCTCGGTCGTCTCGTGGATCCTCGCCTCGTGGCAGCCGCACGCGTCTCTGCCCACGGCGGTGGCTGTGCTGTGGGTGCTACGCCGGGCGTACAAGCAGATCTCCGCGCTGGCGGAGGACCTCTACCTGCCTCCCGAGGCGGCGGAGACGGGCACCTTCGCCTACGTCTCCTCGGGCGGCGTCGCGCTCGTCAGGCCAAAGTGGGGCTTCGAGGCGGCTCGGGGCGGCTACAACCGCGCGAGCATCGCGCGAGGGATGGCTCCGCATAAGGCCGCACCTCCCTCCACACTCCCTCGAGCGGCAAGGTCGGCACGGAGAGCCTTCCCTGACCCGTCCCCGAACCCTCCGTAGGCGCACCACTACCTCGAGCGGTGGGTCGGCTTCGCCTCGACCGCAAAGGCGACGCGCCGCGCGCAGCAGGTCGAGACGCGGCGCAAGAGGCGCAAGGCGACGTGCGCCGAGGCGGACCCGCACGTCAAGGGGCCCGCCGCAGCGCAGAGCAGCTGGCTGCAGCTCGGGAGTCCCCTCCCCGCAGGCCCGCAGGAGGAGGGGGAGGAGGAGGAGGAGGAGGAGGCCCGGTCGGGCTCGTCCAAGTCCGGCCCCCCGTCGTGCCACCCAATCAAGACGCCGCTCGAGCCCTCCCGCCCCGCCGCGAGCCAGTCCACGGGCGGAGCGAGGCTGTCGCCGCCCGCCAAGGTGACGTCCCGGCTGCACCCACACTCGGAGCCGGGCGCCAAGACCGCCGCCTCGCGGCGCAAGGCCCTGGCCGCCGGCCACAGCCGCGCGAGTGAGGTGATCCGCCACCTCGAGGAGGAGAGCGTGCACACCGACACGGCGGGCACCGACCAAGCCTCCAGCGCCAGCAGCAGCGCGAAGCTGCTCGATCAGCTGCAGGGCAACAAGCCGCCCAGGCAGCCGACCGTGATAACGAGGCTGCTGGAGCTGTTTGACGGGCTCGTGCCGTCGGCACAGCAGACTGACGCAGCGACCCGGCTCCAGGCTGCGGCGCGGGGAAGCCTCTCCCGCCGCGCGAGTGCGGCGAGCCTCGAGGGGCTCGAGGAGGAGAGGCCATAAAACACAGGTCCACGGCCACCCCGCTGAAACGTCGGAATGTATTGATTGAGTGTGGGCGCTCTGCTGACTAGTCCTCTGTTAGTGCGCGCCGTGTGTCGGTGGACGGTGCGCGTCGAGAGCCGAGGCCGAGGGGGTATCTCTTCTCACTTATGTCTGCTGGTTTGTAAGGCACCCGGGAAAGATTGATTCTCGCCCCTGTAACTATTGATATTGATCTGCTGGTGCTGCGTCCTTCACCGACCCGTTCATGCTTTCGGCAGAGCGGCGTCGCAAGAGACACCAAACACACGCCTCCACTCGCCAGCAAAACTCGCGATTCAACTAGGGCAAGTCGCTTCTGACAACACACTCACGGATCCGTGACAGTTCTGCTCGTCTTGCGCTCTGGTTTTGGACTCAGTGAGTCGGGCTCAGCAGACACGAGCGAGACAGCAGTGTCACTCTCGGCGAGATCTGAGAACGTGTCTCTCGCGCTGTGCGAGACGAACAGCGGCACTCCCTCGCCATCCCGTGCTGCTCTCGCGGCGCGGCCTCTCCCCCGCGCCCTGAGCGCGCGTGTCGCTCACTCGAGCACGGCCGGCAGCGCCTGCCGGACGAGCTCCTTGGCCTCGTTGAACTCGTGCTCGAGCATCTGCGCCAGGTAGAAGGGGAGCGAGTCCTCCTCGTTGAACTCCATGGCATTGCCGTAGATGAGCACGACGTCCGCCTCGAAGGCGGCCCACGAGGCGTACTTGGACCCCTCCAGCCCCGACTGGACCGCGGCCAGGCACATCGGGCGGTCCACCTGCCGGTAGTACTCGACCTCGTCTGCCGGCACGGGCGGCTGGAAGTACCGGCCGGGCTCGCTGCTCTGGAGGCGCTTGAGCACGCGCAGAAAGGTGTCCTGGCGGAGGCGCTCGAGCGCGGCTCCGCTGGCGCCCGCCTGGCCGGCGAGCGCGTCCGTGATCTCGAGCGACTCGGAGGCGGGCACCAGCTTGGAGTAGGTGTCGCGGTCGACGCGCAGCTGGTCGACCAGCTTTGCGAGCGGAGGGTTCAGCTTGGACCAGCGGCCGTGCGTGTCGCTCGGGAGCGCCTCCCACGGGCTCACCTGATGGCGGGATGGGCGGGGCGCGCGGCTCGGTGTCCGCCGACTCGAGAGAGGGGGGGCGGAGCGTTCGGGTGCCTGGTTGTCCGTCTGCTCCTCGTCAAAGACCCACAGCGGCTGGATCGACGCCCCCTCGTGCTCGCGGGGGGAGGCGACGTACCACACGCAGTTGAGGCAGCGGTAGAGCGAGTCGGGGTAGTTGAGGGCGTCGAAGGGCTTGCGGCTCCACACCCGCCCCTCCCACAGCTCCTCCTCGCCCTCGCTGTCTGGCGCGGCAAAGGGCACGCGCACGTGCGGAGACGCCGAGGCGGAGAGGGCGCGCTCGCGCGAGGCGAGGTACTCCTTGAGCGCGCAAACGTGCTGGTCCACGTCGCAGAGCCGGCGCGGCACGTACGGCAGGCAGTACTCTGCCCCCTCGCTCGCGCCGGACCCGCCGCCGAACGGGACGCCGCGGAGAGTGAGCAGCTCCCACCCCTCCGTCTCGGCGGGGTGGATGGCGATGATCTCGGCGCAGTGCGCGGTGCCGTCGGCGGGGCTCTCGAGCAGGTCGGCCGGCACGTCGATCACCAGCTGGAGCGCGTCCAGCTCCGCCTCGTAGCGCTTTGCAAACTCGTTGTAGCACTGCGGGACCCACGCCACCCTCGCGCCAACCTGCGGCGCGGAGGAGGGGGTGGAGAGCGGGGCGAGGGCGCGGCGGGCGGCGCCGCGGCCCGAGGCAGGCTCAGAGCTCATGGAGGGGGCGGGCGAGGTCCGGCGAGGCGCGCCGCGCGCCTTGAGCTTGAGCGCGCGCATGGGGGCACGCTCCTTTGGCAGCAGCCGGACGTCCTCCAGCATTGGCGGCGGCGCGTCCGCGAGCGGCGGCGGGGGAGAGAAGGCGAGCTTGGAAGGGGTGGCCTCGTCGTCGGACGAGTCCGCGTCGCCTCGAGCCAGAGCCTTGCGCTTGCGGCCGGCGGCGCTCTTCTTGCTCGCGGCCGACGCGGCCGCGCCCTTGCCGCCTCCGCGCGAGGCGGGCGTCGCCGCCTTCTTGGCGCCGCCGGAGCTGCCGGAGCGCGCCTTGGGCGCGGCGGCCTGAGCGCGCGCGTACTCGGGGCTGGGCACGTAGCTCGCCATCTCGCGAGCGTGCCGCGCGTGGTCCTCCTTCGACGCCTCGACCCACGGCGCCCTCGCCGCCTCGTCCATCGTCTTCCACGCCGCGCCGAGCGCCTTGCCCGCCTCGGGCACCTTCATGCCGGCGTAGGCATCCGACTTGCGCTCCTGCATCGACCAGAGCATGTACGCCGAGAGCGCCCCCTTCGGCGCGTCCGGGTCCTTCTTCGCCTTCTTCTTCTTTGGCTCGGACGCAGCGCCCTCGCCGCGCGACTTTTGTGCACGCGGCTTCTCCCCCGGCTTGCGCTGCGGCGTCGGCTTTGACTTGGCCGCTCCAGAGGGCTGGCCCAGCTTGCGCGGCTTGGAGTCGAGCTTGCGGCGGACGGGCGGGGCCGCGCTCGGCGTGGGCCCGTCGCCCTCCTCCTCGGCCGGCGCGTCGCCCTCGAGCGACGCCTCGGTCAGCGCCGCGTGAGCGGCCGACGGGGTGGCGGGAGCGGGCGTGGGCCTCTTGCGCGCCGCCGGCGCGGTGCGGACCGCTGGCTGGTGCAGGCCCCGACGGCGAGGCGGCGGCGGCGACAACGTCCCCTCTCCCGGCGGGGCGGCCGCGGCCGGCGGCGGGTGGACTGGCTCGCTCTCGGGCATGGAAAAGGGGTCGCTCGGCGGCGCCTCCTTCTCGTCGCCCTCGTGCTCCTCGACGTCCGTCTCGACAACCTCCGGGATCGGCGCCGGCGAGCCTGCGGGCGCGGGCCTCGCCGCGGGATCGACCTCTCCGTCGCCGTCCTCGTCGTCCTCGTGCTCCTCGACGTCCGTCTCGACGACCTCTGGGACCTGCGACGAGGGCGCCTCGGGCTCCTCCTCGCCGACGCCGCCCGCCGCCTCGCCGGCAGCGACGGTGTCCGGCGCGACGGAGGCCTGCGACGCCTCCGCGTCCGCCTTGCTCTCCGGGTCGGAGCTGCTCGCCCACGGCGTGGACGAGCCGTTGCCGCCAGAGGCCGTTCCCTCGGCCGGCACGACTTCCTGCTCGGGCATCTCGCTGCACTCGGCTGCGACCTGCGGGCCGGAGGACGGCGGAGTGGGAAGGCGCGTACGGTGAGGGGACGCGCGGGAACTCGCGCGCGGCTCGCGCTCTCCGCTGCGAGAACCATGTGTCTGTGCACAGTGCTTTGCGCTGCGGCTCCGGCTTGCGGCGGCGCGGCGGGCGGCGCGGCGGCGCGGCGGGCGCCTGCTCGAGCACCGCGGTGGACGCGAAGCGGAGGTCTTCGGCGGGGACGCTGCCCGGCCCGCTTGAGGCGCCGGAGGAGGCGGCCGTGCGACGGAAGCCCATGTTTTTGTGTTTGTCTGATCTCGAGGGAAGAGAGGACAGGGGCTGTTCACGGATGCGCTTCCTGTCGAGATGTAGTGCGAGAGGGTGTGCTGTGTGTCTACGAGAGAGGGTGAGGTGCGTGCCCCGGAGAGGCCGCGGGGATGGGGAGGGGCTACTCGCGGGCCTAAAGGCCTGTGCGCTCAAGCAGGAGGGGTGTGTGTGAGTGAGTATTCTTGATAGGAAACCACGATTCTTGTTGGCTTGTAAATCTCTCTCTCTCTCGAAATCACGACGACACACACCAGTCGACTCGCATCGGTTGCCTCCATGAACGGCGGGGCTATTCTCGCGTCCACACCACACCTGGCTCCAACGTGGACACACACACACACACACACACACACACACACACGGAGGGGTGTTGAGGCGTCATGAGGGAGTGCGCGTCTCTCGCGTTTGGCCCTCGAGGTTTGGGGCCCCGCCGCCCCCGGGCCCAGAGAAGCGCAAGCACGGTCCACGGACATTCGAGAACGGACAGACAGACCGCACAGAGATCGACCGCCAGACAAGCAATTAGCAACGCCAGAGTTTTCGGGCAGAGTGAGTCGCGTGTCGCGAATCCGACTACATCTAGAGACTCGTACGTCGCGTAAGAGACACTAGACCAGATCTAGGACCGATCTACAACACCAACAACGTGTGTTATCTCGTCGTTGGAATTTTGTGCGCGCTAAATTCATGACCACATGAGCATATTGTTGCTGCATTTGGCGTTTGCGTTTTCTTTATTCCGGCGGGGCGCCAGCCTGCCCGCGCGACAAGTGTGTGAGCGCTGTGACATTCACACGTAGAAGTACCGCGAGTACCGTATACTGAGGCACACATCCAATGGTCTGAACCCGAACCCCCGATCGCGGCCCGACACACGCGAGAGCGACACACCCGACACGCAACACTTCAAACACATCTTCAACAACATGTGGCAGTCGCGTGTGAGTTGAGTCCACACATTGCCCTACTTAGCTCCTTTCGACATCACACCCTTCGTCGTGTCGCGTCTCTCTCTGACTCTCTAATCCCGTGGTCCACGGCGTGCCGGCGCGTGGTGTGCACCAGCGCACCAAGGCACGCCAGCTCGAGCACACCCGCACTCGGCCATCACGCTCGTCCTCTACAATGTGAACCGGGGCTCGGCCGCAATGTCGTCGCCGGACGAGTCAACCTTCTCAATCATTCCGTAAGGCGGGTGCCCGACACGCCGCCGCGCGACCACGTCCTGGCGCCGCAACAGCAGCACGCAAGCGGCTGCCGCGAGGACGACGCCAAAGACGACGGCGACGCGGTTCGGCCCGGTCTCGGAGAGATTGCCGCGCCCCTTGGCGCCGCCGGCCTTCTTCTCCGCACCCGCGCCGCTGCTGCCGCCCATCAGATGCGCGAGGAGCGCGCCGCGCGTCCACTCCACCTGCGCGGTCGGGCGCGAGCGAGCGAGGGGGGGCATGAGACCTGCTAATCAGGTGCATGGCAGGCAGCCGGCTGAGGCGCGAGGAGGAGGCGGAGCGAAAGGTGCTCAGCTTTGAGGCGGCTCAGAGCGAGAGACTCCGCGGCCCACGAACCCCTCCCTCCCCCCCCTCCCCCCTCCCCCCTCCCGCCCCCCCTCCCCCCTCCCCTCCCTCCCGCTGGGGCGGGAGCTCGCGCCTCGGCGCCCGCAATCTCCCCGAGGAAGGCGACCTCAGACGCCTGCTCGCTGAAGCCGTACCCGTGCGTGAGCAGCGAAGTCGCGTACGTCAGGTCGAAGCAGCGCCTGGCGGAGAACAGAAGGGCCTCGCCCTCCGCTCGTGAGGGAGAGAGGCGGGCCTGCGCGGGCGGAGCAGCGCCAGCGGATGGCGTCCGTCGGCGTGAGCGGGTCGACGCCAGCCATCCTCGCCTCGAGCCTCGGCCTGTTCACACGCACAGCTGTGAAGAGACGCTGCTCACAGCGCCGCCGCCCGGCCTCCAAACGCGTGGCCCGTTCTCAGCGCAGAGTGCGCGCGCCGCGGCCCGAAGCTCGCGGAGCGAGTAGGCGCCTGCAGGGAAGCGCAGGGCCGTCCCGAGGAGGGGCCCTCAGAGAGGAGAGGCTCGAGAGGAGAGGCTGGCGGGTCGAGGCAGGCGCGCCGTTGCTGCGCTCGGGGATGTGGCCCGCGGCGGCGGCAAAGTGGATGGCATAGTAGAAGAGGGACATCCCCACAAAGGGGCCGCTCGGGGCGGGCTGCCCTGCGCGGCGAGCGGCCTGTCGGGCTAAGGCCCGGGGGCGGCGAGGAGGGAGGACGAGGAGAGGGGCGGCGAGGAGGGAGGAGGCGAGGAGGGAGGCGGCGAGGAGGGAGGAGGCGAGGAGGGAAGCGGCGGCTCTCACCTCCTTGCCCTGGCGCCGCAGAGAGAGAGGGCAATCTCCGCACATGGCTACTGCTTCTCTCCTCCCTCCCTCCCTCGCTCTCCCCTGGCGCTCGCCGTGCGGCTCGAGTCGCTTCAGCACGCGCTGCACGCCCGCCTCGCACGCGGCCGAATCCCCACGGCCGGCTACCAGCCGCGCGCCGCCTGTTCACAGCTGCAGCCGTGAAGAGGCGCCGCCGCCGCCTCGCGCCGAGCAGGCTGCCGCACGCCGCGGGCCCCAATCTCCCACCGCCGGTCCGGCTCCCAAGACGCGTTGGAGCCCGCTGCGAGGCAAGCCGCCGCCTACACTCTCGGCACCTCCCGGTCCCACAATCCTCGTCGCGCGTCCGCCGGCGAAGCAGTCCGCTGCCTCTTGCTCGCTCAGTGCGGCGAGCGCCTGCTTGTTGCCGAACCCGAGGTGCGAGTGCGTGAAGACAGGCACCTGCTCGCACGCCGACGCCTGAAGAGACGCGCCGCGCAGCCGGACGACTGCGAGGGTGCGACGGCAGGTGCGACGGCAGGCACCTCCCGGCCAGGCAGCGGCGCCGACGCGGCGGCGGCGGCGCCGCGCGCGGTCGCAAAGGTGATCTGTGTGGAGCCGCCGCCGAGGTCGAGCGCGCCCACCTGGCCGAGCTTGGAGGCCGGGAGCCGCTCCGCCGAGACCAGCAGCTGGTTCACCGACAGCCAGCCAAAGACGCCCTCGTCCTCGCCAGACAGGGTGCCGAACAGCGAGCGCTCGGGCTGGAAGGCTCCGTGCGCCCGGACCGCCGCGAAGAGCGAGTCGTAGATGACCTCCGCCGCCTCGGTAGGCACGAGCCGCATCCCCGCCGTCGCTCGCAGCAGCACCTTGGCGCGCGCTTGCTTTGTGCGCGGCACGATGCCCGCAGCAAAGTCGAGTAGGCTCGTGAGATAGCCGGAGCCAACCTCCCTCGGCCGGTCGCTGAAGGAGCTCAGGCCAGGCTTGACCTTCAGGTTCCACGCCTTCTCGGCGTGCAGAGACGGCAGCCCGCCCGGCACGAGCGTGTACTCATAGACGTAGACGCGCGTGCCGGTCGATCCGCCATCAAAGACGACCGCCCATTCGTTGTGCGAGTGCGGCGCCGACCGCACGCTCGGGCAGCAGGCGAGAGAGAGGGCGGCGAGCGCGCTGGCGTGGGAGCGCAAAAGCATGGCCAAGCGTCCACCGGTGCGATATTTTTTTCTTTTTTCAGCTTTATCGGCTGGGCGATCGGCGGCCCTCTGCCTCTCTCCCTGGGCCGGCGGGTAACACCATCGCGCCATCGCCATCGGTTGAACTTTCCATCCAAGAACGCAGAACGGAGGAGATAGCCTCGCGTCCACACACCACACCTCGAAGCTCGATCCTCGTCGTACGTCGTCGAGCGTCGAGGCTCCAACGGAGCAGAGACGGGATTTCAGTTTTCACGCCCGTGCTCGTTGGGGACTCACTTCTAGTTTCTAGTAGGTCACGCATGTGGCATCCCAGGGTGGCATCAGAAGTTTTATGGATTTATGCGCGCACACGACACACACACAACACAAACTCTCTCTCTTTCTCTCTCTCTCTCATGTCGAGTCTCGAGCTCCGGCTACTCCTCGGCGCGCTTGCGCTTGCGGCCCGGCTCCTCCTCCGCCGGGTCGACGCCCGCGCAATGCATGTTGAACTTGACGAAAGCCTCAGGCGCGAGGGCCGCAAAGTCGGCGCGCTTGACAACTGCGCGAGAAGGGGGCGGAGGTGTGATGCGACTCATGTGTGCGGGCGGGCTGTGATCCGTCCTGCGTTGGCCCTCTCTCACCTTGCGCCATGTTTGCCTTCATGAAGGCGAGGCAGTTGCGCTCGAGCTCGGTGGCGCCGTACACGTGCGCGAGGCTGAGGAGCGAGCACGCCATCTCGCAGGACAGCTTGTGGCACAGCTGCCCCTCCGCCCACCGCAGCAGCCGCAGCACGCCGTACTTGTGCGCCGCGGCGAGCACCGCCTGCAGCTGCGCGATGCTCTGCTCCGCCGCGCCAGAGGAGGCGCCGCCCGAGGCAGCGCCGCCCGATGAGCCCTCCGACGAGCCCTCCTCGCGCAGCACCTTTTGCACCTCGTCAAAGTCGCCCGTGTACAGAAAGTGCAGCAGCGCCTTGAGCGCTGGCGGCGGCACGTCGGTCACCTGTCCACAGCTGGAGGCGTGAAGACGAGGCACCGCTGACATTCGGCCGCGAGTCCCAAGCTCTGTGGCGCCGTGAGTGTGCGCGTGGCACTCTCGCGCATCTCGTGCGCAAAGGCGGCCGCGAAGACGTCGCTGCGCTGGCTGAGGATGTTAGTGTGCGCGCTGAAGGTGACAGGTGCTGCCTCGCCGTAGACGGCCTCGATGGTGATGTCGGAGTGGCGCCCCTCGGTGAGGAGGGAGAGGAGGTCGGCCTGCAGCGTCGAGGGAGGCACCTCGACCGACGGCGGAACGTGCTCGTAGATCGGTGCGTGATGCCCCACACGAACCAGCCCCTCGCTGGGGTGCTCCTTCGTGGCAGCCTCCTCGATGCAAACCTTGAAGCAGATCGAGTTGTCCTTGACCCACTCGCTGCCGAGAAGCTCGTCGAAGGACAGGCCAAAGAGCCCCTTCGACTCACTGTTCAAGCAGGCTGGGACCGCCAATGAAGCAGGCGCGCTCGTGGTCCTCGCGCGCAAAGACAGCCACACGCGTCGCCTCCCCCAGCGGCTGGAATTCTCCGCTCGCGTCCCGCACGAAAAAGCGGTAGCACAGGTTGGTCCCGTAGTGGTCCGCGGCGCGAATGAGCGCAAGGGTGCCGCAGAGGTCGTCGTCGAACACCTCGAAGGCCCCGTCATCATCATCCGTTTCGTGCTTCAGGTGGCCGCCGCGCGGGCTGAAGACGAGCATGTACCTTGATTGGGTGTCCAAGGGGTCGACCTGGAAGATTCGGCTGTTGGTGCACTCGCGCTCCTCCTGAGTGAGCTGCTGCTCGAGCCAGGACAGGCCCTGCACCTCCCAGACAAAGTCGCGCTTCACCACGTCGCTCGCATACGACACAGTTTCTTTGGCCAGAGCGGCGGGTGGGGGCTGCTTCGGCTCCTGCTCGGTTTGCTCGACAACCACGTTCCCCGCTTCGTCGTTATCGATGCGAGTGCGAAAGTGCCGCTTGAGGCGAATTGACTCTCGAATTTTACCGTTCATGTGGATCATACCCTCCATCTCACGCCGTAGCTGCTGCCGCTCCCTCGCCTCGTCGATTTCGCGGGTAGCGGTGGCCCGCTCTTCCCTTAGGGTGACCTGCAGGGCGCGCTGCTCCTCGATGCGCGCGCGTAGCTCCGCAGCGGTGAGGTTTTCGCCGGCCATCGTCAGCGGGGCCCGGCCGGAGGCAGGATCGGTGTCACTGACCGGTTTCACCGGCGAGCCAAAACGCGCGGCGAGCTGCGTTTTCTTTTGTAAAACTCGTGTAAAATTCTTTAAAACCACCAAGAGCTACGGCTAGGGCTGCAGAAGCAGCGTATCTCAGTCGTTCTCCACACGGCCATCGCAGAGCAGATTGCGAATGAGCTTGCCTGCGGCGAGGGCGGTCGAGTGCACGGAGCTAAGTAAGTGCCTCGCCGTCCTGCCGTCCTCGCAGGAGTCGCTTAGGCGGCTCCCGTGGTGTACCTGTGTTAGTGCCAGTGCGCGCCAGTCCCGTGCCCAGTGTCGTGTGAGGCGTCTGAACACACGTGTCCCTCCATTCACACTCTCCCAGTCCTTCGCTCCTTCCTGGTCTAGTGCCCGTCTTCTCCGCCCGTCGTGCTCGTCCTGCTTATTCTGAGAGGGAGCTGTAGGAATTCTCTCCTAAAATTCTTTTCCTGTGTTAGTGCCAGTGCGCGCCAGTCCCGGGCCTAAAAAAGAAAGAAACCACGGGGGAACCCAAGGGAGGGATGGGAGGACGGCACGCCGCCACCACACAGGGATTTTAAGGAGAGGGGTGTGATGCGCTAGCCAGGCCCGTGCGCCGCCAAATTCTTTTTCTGTCACTGCGCCCGGCGGCGCCTGTTGCGGATATGCGACTGCTGTCAGTTTGCACGGATATCCCCACGTCGCTGCTGGCCCCGCTCCTCCTCGCGCCGCCCGCCTCTCTTCCCAGCGGCCGCCGCATGGCCCGCACCCGCGCCTCCTTTGTGGATGTGGCGCCAGCGTCCGCGCTGCCCACGTCATCAGTAGACCCGCGGCTGCAGTCGCTGCTGCTCAAGGTCCTCACCGTCGAGGCAGTCAACGACCCGCCCGACGACGGCGACGTCGCGAGCCTGTGCAGCGATCTGAGGCTCGCCGGCTTCGAGCCACTGGGCAAAGGTGACGCCGCACTCGCCAGTTCCCTGCGACCGACGGCGTTCGAGCGGCTCGCCGTCCGCCCTCGCCTCGCCAACCTCGACGCGTCGCTCGCGCGCGAGGTTCATGGCAGCGACGCCGATGAACTTCTCTACGACGGCCGCGTCGTGCTCTGGCGCCGGCGATACGGCTCCGAGAGTCGCGAGGGCCGCCTAGTGCTGGACAAGCTCGACTACCTGCAGCAGGCGCTCGTCCAGCGGGCGCTGGTCGCTCCGGCGACGCTGCTGCTTCAGCGAGCAAGGGAGACGGCGATCGCAGCTTCGGCCAAAGCCGCAGCCCGCTTCGGCGGGGAAGAGCCGAAAGAGGAGGTGGCGCCGCCGCCTCGGCCGCCGCCGCCTCTGCCGCCCACCTCGCTCGCGCGCGCGTCCATCGCGGACGCGTTTGACGGCATCGAGCCGTCGGGACTCCTCGGCGCCCTCCTCGGCCGCTCCAACCTGTCCGAGCCAACCTATGCCGAGCTGGTCGTCCTGTGGCGCCGCCCGGCCTCGCCGCTCGCCGCTACCGCCCGCTCGAGCCTCGTGCGGGGGCTCCCTGCCGTCCTGTCCGCAACCGCCGGCGCGCTGCGCCCCGACGACGAAGGCAGCCTCTCCCTCGGCAGCCTCGGCAGCCTTTCGCGGGCGGACCTGACCCGCCTCCGCGAAGACGCCAACGAGGCCCTCGCCGCCGCTCGCTCGCGGCCGCCTCCTCCGCCGCCGCTCGAGATGCGCTTCTTCGTCGACATACCGATCGCAAACTTCGCGCTCGTGCTGCCAGACAGCCGCCCCGCCTTCCAGCTCTCCGACTGGCTCCGGCTCGACCTCATCTCGACGCCCGCCCTCGTCGCCACCCTCGCCTCGCTCCGCTACGACGACAGCCGCCTCGACCTCGCCTCTGCGATCGCCGTCGGCGCGTGGGCCCTCCGCACCGTCTTCTCGTTCCGGTCCGCGTACGGGCGGTACGAGCTGCTGCTGCAGCGCACCATCAGCGACAAGCTGAGCATTCGCGACGCGGCAGAGGTTCGCCGCTTCGCCGCGCGAGAGGCGCGCGCAGAGCAGGCGAGACGAGGCGCGTGCCTGCTGTCCTGGCTGCGCGCGCCCGGCCGCCCGCCGTTGAGCGCGGACGCCCTGGTTGGCGCGGCGGGGGCGGAGCATGCTCAGGTCGACTTTGCGCCGGCGCTCGCGACGCTGCGCCGGCTCGGTCTGGTGCGCGCGGCCGGTGGGGCGGGCACTCATTCGGGTGAGCTGCTCGAGGCGGCGCCGGATGGCGAGCGTGCGCTGAGCAGACACTGGCAGGAGTTGCTGTGATGTGAAAAAGACCTCTACCTCTTCATGCCCGCCTCGCCCTCCCGCGCCTCTGCCGCGCCGCGCACGCCGCCGTCGCCGCCGTCTGCTGGCAGCGCGCCGGGTGGTGAAGTCCCAAAGAACGTCCTGAAGGCCGCCGAGAACGGCCGCATGGGACCGGTGCGATCGTGGCTGAATGACGGCGGGAAGGCCGACACTTTCACTGAGCGACCCTCTGAGGTCAGCGGCGTTACGATTCCAAGCACCCTGCTGATGCTCGCCGCACAGAATGGGCACATGCAGATTATCGAGCTCCTCCTGAAGCGTGGCGCGCACATCAACCTGCAGAACAGTCGCGGCATCACTGCGCTCAACGCTGCCGCCTACTGCGGCCGCGAGCGGGTGGTGGAGATGTTGCTGCAGCACGGTGCGGAGATCGGGACGGCGCTGGAATCATCCGCCCAGGGCGGACAAGAGCGGGTGGTCAATCTGCTGCTGCGGGGTGGCGCGGAGATCGACCAGCAAGGCAAGGACGGCTGCACCGCGCTGATTCTCGCCGCAGCGTACAACCGCCCCGTCGTGCTCCAGCTGCTGCGGGCGGGCGCAGACATGACGTTGCGCGACGCGGAGGGCAAGACGGCGCTGCAGTGGTCCAAAGTGAAGGGCCACGCCGAGTGCGTCCAGGCCTTCCGGACGTATCTCGGGGAGGTGGCAGCGGGCCGGAGCAAGGCACCGTCGGCTGAGGCAGGCGGCGCAGGTGCGGCGGTGGGTGCGAGTGCCACGGCCTCTGCTCCGAGCGGCGGGGGCGGCGCGGAGGCTGAGCCGAGCAGCGGCGGGGCAGTGCCAGAGGAGGTTGTGCTAGCGGCTGAGCGCGGCGACGAGATGACGCTGGCGTGGCTCGACGGCGGCGGGTCAACGCGAGTTCGAGTGCCTCTATTCGGACGGCCCTGTGAGCGGCGTGACGCTGCTGATGCTCGCGATGGCCAAGGGCCAGGAGGGGCTGGCCGAGGCGCTGCTTCAGCGCGGCGCGGATGTCGCGTTGCAGAACAGCAACGGCAGCACCCCGCTGACGTTTGCCGCCGGCAATGGCCACGAGAAGCTGGTCGAGTTGGCGCTGCGGTACGGCGCGGCGATCGACCAGCAGTGCAACACCGGCAGCACCGCGCTGATTCGGGCCGCTTTCCAAGGCCACCCCGCCGCCCTTCGCTGCTTGCTGCGGGCGGGCGCAGATGTGACGGTGCGCACTACGAGAGGCAAGACCGCGCTGCAGTGGGCCAAGGAGCAGGGCCACACCGAGTGCGTGCGCGCCCTCGAGGAGCATGCGGCGGCCGAGAAGGCGGCGGAGAAGGCGGCGGAGAAGGCGGCGGCGGAGGCGGCGTGGGCAGCGGGAGCGGCGGAGAGGGCGGCGCAGAGGGCGGCGGAGGAGAAGGAGGCGGCGCGGCACGCCGAGGAGCTGCTGGCGGAGGTCGAGGCGGAGAAGCGCGACAAGGGGAAGAAGGGCAAGAAGAAGAAGAAGGGCGGCGGGGCGGGGCGGGGCCGTCGCAGGAGGCCGAGGAGGGTACCGAGGCGCCGTCGGAGGCAGACGCAGCCGAGGCGGCGAAGAAGGCCGAGGAGGCGAGGCTTCTCCGGCTTCTCGCGACGCTCACCGAGGAGCGGATCCGGTTCGGCATCACGCCGGAGACGTCGGTCGAGGGGTTGGCGGAGGCGGTGGGAGAGGCGGCCGAGGCGGCGGACGAGGCGAGCGAGGAGGAGACAGCGGAGGGGCAGGCTGCGGCGGCGCGCGAGGAGGCCGAGGCGGCCGAGGCCGCGCGTTGGAGTGCGGAGGCGGAGGCGGCGGAGGAGGCAGAGGCTGCGTTGGCAGCGGAGGAGGCGGCGATCGAGGCCGCAATCTCCGCCGCTAAGGCGAGGCGCGCGTCGGTGGCGACTGCGAGGGCCAAGGCAGTGGCAGCCAGGATGGCGGCGGAGGCGGCCCAGCGCTCATAGAGAGCTGCTTGGGAGCACACTGCACGCATGGTTTGAACACGGGCGCGTCTCTCATCGCTGCTTCGCAGCCAATGACGTCATCGCTGTGTGGAGCTCCGGAGCGGTGGAGCCTTTGGTCGGATTTGGGCCACTGCGATCTTGAGGAGGACGTGCTGCTGCCCAAGTCGAAGGTCGAGGCGTGGGGGTTGGGAGACAATGAGGGAGAGGGAAGGCGTGAGTGTATGAGACGTGAAACTGAAAGTCTTTATCTGCCGCATGTGCATGTGTTTTTGGCCTGTGTTTTTTCTGCATATCAGGTAAATTCTCCTCGCATTTTTCGATGAATGTCGATGTCGACGATAGAAGACAAACGAAACACATTAAAGACGGGTCCCTCTCATCGACGAAAATCAATCTTGCTACATGCAAACACAGCGCACACCAAAGACGCTCAGTTGTCGCGCCGCAGCATCTGCTCGTGCGTCACCTGCGTGATCCTCCTGTGGCTGCTCCCGACCGGGTTGGTCATGGCCGCCTGGTCGCGCTCCTCGAGCACGTCGAGGTGCTCGCGCAGCGCGCGCAGCGAGGCGAGGGCGGTGCGCAGCACGTCGCCCGAGCAGCCCGGCCAACAGGCCGCCGACACCTCGCGGCAGATGGCCTGCGCCTCGGCGACGTCGCGGCCGCGCTCGGCGTGCTCGGCCTGCACGCGGCCGGGCGAGGGGCCGGCGGCGAGCGGCCCGGAGAGCTGCATCGGGCCCGGGTTGCAGTAGAGGTCCGCCATGACCAGCCGCTCGCGGACTGCCGACCAGCGCCGGAAGGTTGGCGATGCGAGCGACACCTGCGCCGGCCGGATGACTGCGACCGCCACGCCGGCGCGCCGGTCCGCCGACATGAGCGAGAAGAGCGGGACGCCGCAGAGGCGCCACTCGGAGGGCGGCGAGGTGAGGCAGTGCGCCGAGGCCATGTAGGCGGTCGCGCCGGCGCCGACCAGCGCGCCGGCCGCGTGGCCGAGCGCGTAGCCGAGGTTGGCGTCGAAGGTGGAGGGCATCGAGGAGCGCGCCTGGTAGCCGAGGTAGAAGCAGACGGGCGCGAAGCGCGCGTCCGGCGCGGCCCACTCGGCGGTGGCGGTGGCGGCCGCGCGCCGCTTGCGCAGCTCGACGCGCACGAGCTCCGCGAGCAGCCGCTCCGTCTCGATCTGCGAGAGCTGCGCCTTGTCGTCGGAGGCTTGCCGCTCAAGCATCAGCTGGCGGCGGATGTAGGGCGGCAGGCTCGCGAGCAGCGCGGCCGAGGGCGGCGTGAGGAGCGGCAGGATGGCCGTGTAGACCTTGTAGCGGTCGGTGGAGGTGTCGCCCATCCGCTGGCGGTACTTGAGCGCGGCCGAGATCTCGCTGAGCAGCGCGTTGACCTGCGGGACGTACTCGATGAGCCCCTCGGGGATGAGCACGACGCCAAAGTGCTTCCCCTCGGACGCGCGCGCCTCGACGGCGTCGGCCAGCTCACCAACGATGTCGCAGAGCGTCATGCGGCGCGCCTCGAGCTCCTCGCCCACCAGCGCGATGTTTGGCTGCGTGAGGTTGGCGCACCCGAGGGTGAGGTGGGAGGGCGTGCGGCCCATCATGCGGATGAAGTACCAGTGCTTGCGAGCGGAGGCGGCGTCGGTGGCGAGGTTGCCCACGAGGGAGGCGTACACGCGCGTGGCGGTGTCGAAGCCGATGGACGCCTCGATCGAGTTGCAGTACAGGTCGCCGTCGATGGTGGCGGGGACGCCGATGACGCGCGTCGGGACGCCGCGCTGCTTGAAGTGCTCCGCCAGCAGCGCCGTGTCCGAGTTGGAGACGGGGCCGCCCACGAGGACGAGCCCGCTCAGCCCGCACCGCCTGCAGGTCGCCTCCGCCAGCTCGTAGTGCTCCGCCGTGCGAATGACATCCGCCGAGCGGCCGAGCAGGTCCATCCCGCCGCCGTTGAGGTACGGCGCAACCTCGCCCGCGCCGAGCTCGACGGCACGGCCGCCGAACAAGCCGCGCGTCCCGTCGAGGAAGCCGAGCAGCTTGGCGCCCTCGCCGCCGCGCCGCTGCAGGAAGTGGGTCAGCCCGACGGCGACGTTGTGCGCGCCGGGGCACTGGCGGCCGCAAAAGACGACGCCGATGACTAGCGGCGCCTCGCCCAGAAGCGGCAGCGGGGTCGCGTGCCGAAACGCGAGCCGGCCGGAGACGATCTCGAGCCGCGGCTGCCCCGCCGTCGTGGGGAGCTGCTGCGCGACGAACAGCTCGTCCGCCGCCGCGTGCGGCACCGCACCTGCCACCACCGCGAGCGCGGCGTCCCCCTCGAGCAGGGAGGGCAGCGAGGGCGGAGCGGCGAGCCGCGCGGCGGCGAGCGGCGCGACCGCCGCCTCGGGCACCTCCTCGCCCCGCTCCAGCCGCAAGCAGACGGAGATCTCGTCGGCGAGCGGCCCGTCGAACTGGACCGGCCCCGGCGAGGCGAAGCTGCGCGCGAGCCGCCACCCGCCCCGCCGCGAGACGAGGGTGCGGAACGGGGCCCCCTCGAGGTCGACGGCCGCCTTGTGGATCAGCGGCACGTCCCTCCCCCGGCGCCGCTCCGCCGCCAGCAGCGACGTGAGCGGCACGCCGCGCGGCGCCCACTCCTCGGGCGGGCCCGTCAGGCCGCGCAGCGTCGCCAGCACGCCGCTCGCGCCCGCGGAGACCAGCCCGCCCGCCGCGAGGCCGAGCGCGTGCGAGTAGGTTGCGTCGAAGTTGGAGGGCGGCGGGCAGCGGCCCTCGAAGCCAAAGAAGTGGTGCTGGACCGAGAAGCGGCCCTGGTACGAGCCGGCGGCGGCGCGCCGCTCGAGCTCGAGCTCGACCAGCTCGCCTAATTAAGAATTAATTAAGCGCTTCATTAAGATGCAGCTCGAGCTGCACCTAGAGCTCGGTTAGGCTCGCCGAGCAGCCGCTCGCTCTCGAGCTTGGCGACCTAGAGGGAGGCGTCTCGCGGCGTGGCGCGGGAGGGCTACGCCACCGCCCGGCGCGCCTCTCCCGCGGGCGGGAAGGGGCTAGGCAGAGCCTGCACGCGGCCGTGCGCGTCTCGCTCCTCGAGGAGGGCTGTCTGGCTGCCTAGAGCGGACGTGTCGCGGACGTGTCGTCGACCGGTGATGGACGTGTCGTCGACTATAGGAGGGCCGTCTGCGGGCGTCCCTCGGGAAGCAGCGAGAAGGCGGCGAAAGCGGGCGGAGAGAGGGCGGAGGAGAGCCAGTCGTCGCTCAGCCCCTCGTAGCTGTTCGAGTCTTGCGCGTCCCGCTCCGCGAGAGCGCCGTTGAGCTCGCGCAGCAGATTGCGCACCTACCCGCAGGCGGGACTGAACTACTCGAAGATCATTGTCTAATCGCGCACCTGCCCGCAGGCCGGCTGGCGTGTGGCATCTCCGGCCCGCCCTCGCGAGCACCCCCCCCCCTCCCCCGCCCCGCCCCCTCGCGCTTCGGCCGTGGCGCACAAGAGGGGCGACCGGGAAACGGCGCGCCTCTGGCAGGAAGTCGACGAGCCCCTCCGAGACGAGCACCACGCCGTACTCCATCCCCGCCGCCGCCCGCTCCGCCACCAAGTCGGCCACCTACAGGGCCGCTCGCCGCTCACGGGCAGGCAACCCGTCACCCTCCGCCCCCCGTCCTGCGCCGCGCCTCGCCAACCAAGCCGGCGATCGTGCGGCTCTGCTGCGCCGCCTCCTCGCCGAGCAGAACCAGGTTGGGGCGCGTGCGCAGCGCGACCTCGACGGCGGGGAGGGACGTGTCTCACGGACGTGTCTCAGGGACGTGTCTCACGGACGTGTCTCACGGACGTGTCTCACGGACGTGTCTCACGTGGGCCGTGGGCGTGTGTCCCGCGAGCAGCGTGCGCCTCGAGGGCGAGGTGGGAGGCGTCGCGGCCCATCAGCCGCACGAAGTGGTAGTACTTTCGGGAGGAGGTGCAGTCCGTCATCACGTTGCCGACCAGCTCGGAGTACAGCTTGGAGGCCGAGTCGAACCCGACGGGCAGCTCGACCTGCGGGGAGGGGGCGGGAGGGCGAGGGGTGAGGGGGCGGGAGGGCGAGGGGTGAGGGGGCGGGAGGGCGAGGGGTGAGGGGGCGGGAGGGCGAGGGGCGAGAGAGGCAGAGAGGGCAAGCGCCAGAGAGCGTGTGGGAGGTGGGGCTGCGTGGCCGAGAGGCGGAGTCTGGCCTGCTCGCTCTTGAGGTGTCCGTCGACGCTCTTCGGCACTCCGACCACGCGCGCCGCCAGTCCCTCCGCCGCGAACCGCTCCGCGAGTAGACACGCGTTCGCGTTCGAGGCGCTGCCCCCGATGATGACCAAGCCTACGGGGGAGCGCCGAGAAGGTTCAGGGAAGCTTCGCCCGCGGCAAGGGATGCCTCCCGTGACGCCGCAGACCGTCGAGGCTGTTGTTGCGGGCGATGCGGACGGCGAGGGCGAGCTCCTCTTCGGTCTCGATGAGGTCGCCGCCCGAGCCGATCATGAAGAAGCCGCCCGAGTTGCGGTGCCGCTCCACCGTCGCCGCCTCGAGCTTTGTGAACGAGTTTCGCAGGACGCCGCGGAGGCCGCCGCGGAAGCCGAGCAGCGTCGAGCCGGGGTGGAATGCCTCGAGGTGGTCAAAGAGTCCGCAGATGCAGTTGTGCCCGCCCGCCGCAGGAGTGCCGCCCGAGAGCACGCAGCCAACGCGCAGCGGCCTCGGTGCGACGGAGGTGTCGGTCTCGGCCGGCACGAGGCTGACGACAGGGCTGCCGTACAGCGTGGGAAAGGCGCTCGCGATGAGATCCTCGTGCGAGACGCACGTCGTGCGCTCCTGCGCGGGCTCTGCGCGTACGCGCACCCGGAGCACCGCCGGCACGCAAGGCCGGTAGTGCCTGCGCTCAGCCTCGAGTGCCGACATCTGCTGTGGCTCGTTTCCAGCCATGCGTGCGGCACGGGAGATCGACATCGCCTCAAGCGGTGGGCTGGCCCCTCTAGTGGAGGTGCGGTGGCGTTTGGCCTCGCTCAGAGGCGGGCTGGCGACGGGGAAGGGGTCTGGCATTACAGACGCGAGGGTACCGACGCGCGCAATCAGCGCCCAATGAACTGGGGCCGCAAAGAAGAATTTTCGCGACGTCTCGTGCAATAAGAAGAATTCAAGTGATCCAAATTCGGCGGCGCATACTTGGTGACTGTGTGCAAGAATTATGCCCACGCGCACCAGTTCGAACCAGTGTTGACAGCAAGACCCCGGGGTTTGGCACTCCCACCAAAACCCCGTGCGGAGAGTCATCGCACACCACCACCCTGGAAGAAGAGAGAACTCTCCACCCTTGGCAGCACAAAGCTGCGCCAGATGTCAGCCAGCTCTGGAGCCGCTCCCTCGCTCGTGCGACTGTGGCGACCACTCCGCCGCCTTGAGGATCAGTTGTTCTTCTCCACGATCTTGTCCTTGCAGATCACGAGGCCGATCATCAGGATCGGGTCGATGCCCGGTGCCACGGTCACATCGTACACGTTCATGCCCTCAAACTGAAGGGTCGCGCGGTCGATGAGGCAGCAGCCTCCCTTCGTCTTGTCGGCGCCCTTTACGACCGAGAGGCGGGGTGCCGCGACGCCCGGCGCCCAGGACTTGTAGTCAGCTGTCTCGTAGGATGCTCTCGTGTACGAGTCGTTCCCGTTGGCCATTTGTATCATGTACATTGGCGTGAGGCTGGTGACAGCGTTCCACACCTTGGCCCATGCGTAGAGCGGCTTACCATCCTGCGTCTCGGGGGTGGGCTGTTGCCCCTCGTAAAACGGCTTGAAGCCGTAGATGAACATCGCCGGCGACATGCTCATGACCTTCTCGAGAATGCACGCGATCGGGTTGCCGTCCATGTCCTTGATCAAGACGCGCTGCCGCATGGAGAGGAGGATGCCCACCACCTTGCAGTAGGCCGTACCGTCCGAATCCTTCACGGTAAAGTCGCCGCGGAGGGAGAAGAGCTTCTGCCTGACCTTGAGCTGGATCGGCTTGGTCGAGATCAGGCCACCGCCATACTCGTTGGGTGACGGGTCGTGGTCGGCGAAGAACTCCTCCGCCACCGGCAGCGAGTTGGTGCAGCCCATTTTTCCGTCTCCCAGAGGCAGACGGTGGTCCGCCGCGGGGCCGCGGGGCTGCGGAGCGCGCCTTGGGTAGGCGGCGCGCAAAAGACAAACAAAATCCGGCGGCGGCGGGCGGGTTTGTGTCTGTTATCGACTGTTACACGACCAATATTCCTTTTGAGCTTACGAGTAGCCTTCGATGTTATGAAACAAACGCAAGGCGGACATGGCATATCGCTCTCGGGCCCACAGACATCCCGCACACCCGCCGCACGCACACCCGCCGCCCCCGCGCGCGCCCCACCCCGGCCGGGAGAAAGGGGAGTGACAGTTTGGGAAGGACAGCCGAGTATCTTGCACTCCATGTGCAAGAACGCAGGGTAAATGTAAGCCGGACGGCTCACAGGCCACCTCTTGCGCCCCGAGCTTACCATCTACCGCACTGAACACTGTTGCCCCCTCGCTCCCAACCCATCCATCAACCTCGCCGCGAGGCGCCGCGCGATCTCGGGCGATCCCGGGCTATCTCGGAGCTCCACGCCACGCCCCCCCCCCCCCCGCCGCCGCCGCATCGCGCTATCTCGGGCGATCTCGGAGCGTCGCTCGCGCGGCGGCACACCTGCTCAAAAAAGGAAGGGCCCGGTTGGAGCCACGGGGCTCACGTGCTGAGAGAGAGAGATTTTAGCAATACCAAACAACTCTAACACTCACACGTCATTTGGGGCCTGGAGCCCTGTTCACGCGCGCGCGAGACGTGCAGACAGGGTTGCCAGGTGAGAGCGAATGGCGCGGTTCACGCCTCGCACAACAGAGAGAGAGATGCGCTCTGCATGGTGGGACATAAAAGAGAGCGAGTACTTGGGCGAGTAGGCCGTGCGGTCGACGCTGCCGCGCGCGACTTTGCGCGCGAGGCGGCGCAGCTTGAGAACGGCGGTGGGCGAGAAGCCGCCGCCGAACGTCTCGTGGAGCAGCAGGTTGAAGTTGTTGCGCTTGACAAAGATCGCGTCGTGGTAGAAACCGCGATGCGCCTTGACGTAGCCGTGGCCGTTCTTGTGGTCGAAGGGTTGGCCGGGCTGCCCGCGCGCCTTGCAGCCCATGTTTAGGCGACGGGCCTTCTCTTCGGTGTTGCCGAAGGCCTAGGAGTGGCCAACGGAGGCGGGCGTGCCGCCGCTCGAGAGGCGTTGCCAACGCCCGCCGAGGAGGTCTTGAGGAGGGGCGTCCAGAGCTTGACTTCATTCACCTCATCGCATCCTCCCGGGCCAGCGTGGGGTTCCGCGAGGTCGACCTTGTACCCCTCGTTGTACTGCCGGGTGAGCTCCGGTTTCTCCTTGTCACCGTGCACGACCGGCGCGTTGGCCGGGGCGCGCATCGCGTCCGCCCAGGCGGCGAGGACGCCGTCGTGGGGCCGCCGGTGGTGGGCCTTGTTGTAAAGGTAGTCGCCGAAGAAATCGACTGGCATGCCCCGCTCGAGCGCGACCCGAAGGGTGGGAAGCGCCACGGAGAGCCAAAGGCCGAGCTTCCGCTGGAGCTCGTCCTGGAGGGCGTCGGAGGAGAGGGCGGTGGCGTACGTGCCGTCGACACGGACATCGAGGGCCTTGCCGGCGAAAGGCGTTGAGGCGGAGACGAAGCGCGCGGCTTCGCGGTTGTTGACGGCGCTGTCTCCGAGGGACGGGTTGTTCTTGACGTGCACATCCCGCGCCTTGACGAGCTCCTGGTGCGCGTACCAGTCCTTGTGATTCTTGATGGCAGCGAGCGCCCGCGGCCGCGGGTACGTGGATTTGCAAGTGCCATTGAGAATCGCGTCGGTAGCTGGAAGGGACTCGGGCTCGGGGAGCGGGACGCTCTTGGGGTAAAACTCAGTCAGGTAGCCGCCGCGGACGGTGTAGTACTTGTTTTTGTCGCGGGCGGCGCGCTTCTCGCACACCTCCTTCCAGTCCGAGAGGGCGGACTCGTAGGTGGCGATGGCTGCGGCGATGGTGGGGTACTACTTGGACGCACCTCCCTCGTCGAGGGCGAAGTCGGGGTTGTGGGCGACGAGGGTGCGCCAGTTCTTGAGGAGCGACATGGAGAAGTCGCTGTCGGCTCGCGTGAAGGCGGTGTCGATGTTTGCACCCAGCCATCTCGTGTTTTTTGGCACGTTCTCGCTCGGTTCTGCGCCACTTTTGAGGCGTTGGCGAGGGTGAGTTCCTCCATTTTCCTCCCCTGGGCCCCCGTCCGGGACCGCTCCGGGACGCACGCCGGCGTAGCACCATCAAAGCTGCTGTACGGCCCCGGCATCGCCTCCCCTGGCTTAGCTAGACTGAGAGATATTGTGCACATGGTTGGTCTCTACAATATATACACTGACACTTTACGTCCCAGAGCTCGTCCCGGTCCGCCACGGCCATCCTCGGCCTCCGGAAGGCCCCCGGCCGCGGCCGGCGCGGTGCGGCGGCGTCACAAATCCGACGGCAGAGCACCGGGACGCGGTCGGGCGATCTGAGGTCCAACTAGGCGTATGCATTGCCCATCCAGGGCTATCACCTGGACCCATCAACAGGCGCCTGGCGGCGCCGTGGCACGAGGTGTTGTTCACACCTGGGCCGGCATTCATGCCAGCACAGTAGTGGCGAGGAGGTCCGACACATCCTGTCACTCCACCTCGCTGGAGCGACGCCTGCGAATGCTCCTGTCGTGCGCACCGGCTTTGCTTGCCTTCTCCGCCGGCCGCTCCGCTGGTTGTGGCACAGCCGCAGGCAGCCTCGTCGAGGTGAGTCCGACGCTCGCGATTGGCGTGTGTGAGGAAGGCATCCTTCGCGTCGTGCGTGCTCCCTCTGATGCCAAGGCTGCGCTTCTGGCTCGCGAATCGCTCATGGTCGATCCTACATTCCCGAGCACGACGCCCAGATACACTGTCACCCGTGAGGGTCCTGCAACGACAGTGATGACCACGAGCACGCTCAAGGCGACCATTGACATGGCCTCCGAACACATCACCTTCTACGACGTTGCCAGCGGCACCAAGTTGACGGCCGACTTTGCACATCGTTTCGTGCCGACCACCGACCCGGCGCTCGGCAACGCGTCGTCTTACGTGCTCTCGCAGTCGTGGCAGCTCGCGCCCGACGAGGGCCTCTGTGAGCGCCTCACCACACGCCCCACTGTTGTTGGGTTCAGCCCGTCGTCAGCCTAACTACTCAGCCGCGGGCCCGCGTGCGCTCACAGACGGCGGCGGCCAGTACCAGAACGGCTACGTCGGCTTCGAGGGGATGCCGATCGAGATGGTGCAGTACAACACCGAGGCCGTCGTGCCCTTCTTCGCCTCGACGCGCGGCTACGGCATCCTGTGGGACAACAACGCGTGGTCGCACCTCAACCCCCCCGAGGGCGCGCCGCTCCACTTCTCGAAAAGCCCCTCCGGCGCTCTCGTCGCGTCCTTCACGCCCACCGTCTCGGGCGACCACGCCGTCTTCGCCGACCTGTGCGCCGGCTTCGGCTGCGGCTCCATCAAGGGCGGAGTCCTCTCCCTCGCCGTCGTCGACAGCTCCAGCGGCGCGGTGCGGCGCGTGCAGGAGTGGGACGGGCGCCAACCTCTCCTTAGCAGGAGGGGGAGGGCCTAGTATTAAGTGATTCATTAGTAGGAGTGGGACCGGCTGGCCAACCTCCCCGACTCGATCTCTGGCAAAGCGCGGGGCCTCCGCGCGGGCGTGCGCTACGAGCTGCAGCTAGTCGGCACCACCTCCGCCGAGAAGGTCTTCGTCGTGCCTCCGTCGAAGAGCACGACCATCCGCTCGAAGCTCGGCAAGCTGATCGACTACTACTTTGCCTTTGCCGGACCCGCGGCGCCCAGCCCGCTCGACGGCGCAATCTCTGGCTACCGCAACATCACCGGCGCGGCGCACCTCTACGGCCGCTGGGCATACGGCTTCTGGCAGTGCAAGGAGCACTACAAGTCGCAAGCAGAGCTACTCGCCGCGGCCGCCCGCTTCCGCGAGGAGCGCATCCCCCTGGACGCGATCGTGCAGGACTGGCTCTACTGGGGCTCGCTCGGGTGGCTCAGCTCGCTCTCTCGCTCCAGCCCTCCGGACCCAGCTCTCCGAACCTCTCCGAACCTTCCCGTAGGTGGGGTCCGCAGTGGGATCCGGCCTCGTACCCCGACCCGGCGGCGCTGGTGGCGCAGCTGCGCGAGGCTCACCACCTGAAGCTGATGGTGAGCGTCTGGTCCAAGTTTGACCGCAAGACGAGCTTCTTCAAGGCGATGGCGGCCGATGGCTGCCTGCTCAACGGCTCCAACTATTACGACGCGTGGAGCTCCGCAGCGCGCGAGCGCTTCTACAGCTTCTCAAAGGCGGCGCACTTTGCGATCGGGGTCGAGAGCCTCTGGCTCGACGCGACCGAGCCGGAAAACTTCCCGAACCGCGACCAGCGCTGCGCGGGGCCCAGCGGCTCGGGCAACGCCGACTTCAACTCGTACTCGCTCCAGACGACACGCGCGATCGCCGACGGCCTCCGGCGCGACTTTGGCGACAGCCAGGGACGGCGCGTTTTCTCGCTCACGCGCTCGGCGTTTGCGGGGCAGCAGCGGACCGGTGCTACGCTCTGGTCGGGAGACATCAGCGGCGCGTGGGACGCGCTGCGCCGGCAGGTCGCCGCGTCGCTCAACTACGCGGCGTCCGGCATGCCTTACTGGTCAGAGGACATCGGCGGCTTCTTCCGGCCGGATGGGCAGCACACGGACCGCGGCTACGCGGCGCTCCTCACGCGCTGGTTCCAGTTTGGCGTCTTCACGCCCATCTTCCGCGTGCACGGCACAAACGGCAACACCGAGCTGTGGGAGTTTGGAGCGCAGACGCAGCGCCACATTGTCCAGAGCGCCATCCGGCTGAGGTACCGGTTACTGCCGTACATCTACTCTGGCTTCCACCGCGTCGCCGCAGAGGGCTACACGATGCAGCGCGCCCTCGCCTTTGACTTCCCGGAGAGCGCCCGTGCGCGCACCACCGCCGACGCCTTCATGTTCGGCCCGGCGCTGCTCGTCGCCCCGCTCGTCTCCAACGCAACGTCGCGCTCCGTCCACCTCCCTCCCACCCCCGGCGCGTGGCGTGGTTTCTACGACGGGCAGCCGTACGCAGCGGGCGACGTGACGGCCTCGCCCGCGATCGACGAGGTGGCCCTCTATGCGCGCGCCGGCTCGCTCGTCCTGCTGGGCCCCGACCTGCAGCATGCCGACGAGAAGCCGGCCGACCCTCTCGAGGTGCGTGTCTACGACGGCGCCGACGCCAGCTTCACCCTCTACGAGGACGACGGCGTGAGCGCCGCGGACGCGACGGGCGGCGCCTCCTCTGGCAGCGCGACGATCCGAATCGCGTGGGACGACGCGGCCGAGACGCTCACCGTTGGGGCGCGCGCGGGCAGCTTCCCTGGCATGCTCGCCGCGCGCACGCTGCACCTCGTGCGCGTTGCGCCGGGCCGCGGCGTCGGTGTGGCTCCCGCCGCCACGCCCGACAGGGTGGTGGCCTACTCGGGCGCAAAGCTGGTTGTGTCGCTACGAACGAAGCGCGTGAGATGAGATCACACGGCGAGCCGAGCGCCGAGGGCGAGGCCGCCCTGCACAGTCTTTAGCGTCTCAGTACTCAGACAGGCGCCTCTCTCTTGTGAAATTCGCTCTTGTCATGTCTCAGAGTCTCAGAGACAGTTTTTACGTAGAGAGAGCGCAAAGTAGTACGGTACACACCGCGTGTCCAGGGATGGCGAGCTCAGATCTCCACACCATCTCGTCGTGTACAGCGTAACAAGGTAACAGCGCTCAGAGACATGAACATGGATCATCTACCTTCGTACTGGCCTGCCGCCCACGCATCTAAGTCGGGCGGGGTGTCGCCCGACTCCCAACCCTGATACATGTCTGCGATGAGCGGCCGCTTCCTACTGTTGGCGCCCGGGCCGCCGGAGCGCGTCCCCGCCGCACCCACCAGCGAGGCCGACGGCGGCATGGACGAGCTCGCAGCGGCGGACGGACCGTCGTCACGCGATTCGGCTTGAAACCAAGGCCGGCCCGGCCTGGGCTGCCAGCTCAGCGGCTTGGGCTGCAGCAGGGGAGGCTCGGCCTCGGACTCCTCCTCCCCCTCCTCCTCCGAGTCGTCTTCGTCGGGGCAGCTTGTGGTGTTGTGAGGGGCGCTGTGGCTGAAGGCAAGGACGGCCTTCTCGCGGAAGGAGCGCACCGTGTCCGCGACGACCCCGTCGGTGGCCTCGCACCACTTCATCACGCGGGGGAACCGCAGAGTCCACGGGATGTTCTTGTTCGAGGACGCGTCGGTGTCGATGTCGTAGCGCCGAAGAAACCGCGAGCCGCGCACCTCGACAAGCGGCGCCGCCGCCGGGTCGACCAGGACGTAGTGCGGCCGCACCGTCCCGCCGGTCGGGCAGTCCAGCATCCACGCCGGCGGCTCCTCGTCCGCGCGGAGCCGCCGCATCAGCGGGGTTGGGCCCTGCGTCAGCCGCCGCCTGGGGCGCGAGAAGCAGGAGCGTCTTGGCGAACGGGCCGGGGGAGGAGAGTGCCGCTCGCGATGGGGCGGAGGGTGGGAGGGGCACGGGAGGGCACACCAGAGCCGGTCGAGGTCGACCTGTCCGAGAGCGCCCTGCCATGCGAGCGGAGAACTGTTGAAGAGCCACCGCACACAGTCCTCCTCGCCGGCCGTCGGCGCCACTTTCGAGATGCCAGCGGTCGAGCGCGCGCCAATCGCGAACTCGACGAGGCGGTGCCGATTGCCCTTTGGCGAGTCCGCGACGGACCTCGAGTCCGGGACGGGTGCGGGCCCGAGCCAGCGCGGCGCTCGCGCGCCGAGGAGCAACAGGGTGAGGGTGTCGCCGAGGCCCTCGATGAACTCCGCCTTGACCTTCAGCACGTTGTTGCGGGCGTTTGGCGCATAGGGCTTGTCGGCCGCCTTCACCATCAGGCCCTCCTCGCCGGCATCCCGCGCCGCCTTAAAGGCGGACTCGAGGGGGCGCTCCGGCGCAGACAAGTCGACGCGCTCGGCGTTTGTGAGCTCGAGGTAGTGGGGCAGCGCGATGAAGCACCTGAGAGGGGAAAGGGGGGCCGAAGTGCGGTCCGTGTCTGAGGAGTGTGCGAGGAGGGGAGGCGAGCGCTGACGGGTGCGGGTGGAAAGCGCCTCCCCGACTCGAGCAGCGCGCGCCGCTCGTGAAACGGCCGGTGCAGCACGTCCTCGTCGCCGTACCGCAGCACATCAAAGACCTTGACCTCGTAGTGCCGCCGCGCGTCGCGCCGCGAGTACCGCGACGGCGACCCGTCCTCGCTCGTGCGAAGCCAGAAGATGGTGCCGAAGGCCGAGATGCCGCGGCCCGTGCCGAGCTCGTCGTACTTGCCCTCGCGCGTCTCGCACTCATCGTACACGAGCAGCTCGCCTACGGGGACATGTCCAGGACACGTCGTGTGGCCGTGTCCTGCACAAGTGGACGCGTCGTGCACGAGGCGCTCTCCGTCGAGCACCACATCCGTGCGAACAAACGCCTCCCGCTGGGCGTCCGTGACTCGGGCCAACGCCTTCTCGAGCCACGTATACCGCTTGCGCGTCGCCGCGTCGCCGCTGCGGCAGAGCACCTCAGCCGGGTCTCCGCCGAACGCGAGCCTCACCTGGTCGGTCGCTGGCGAGAGTGAGCTGGAGAGAGTGAGCCGGAGAGAGTGAGCCGGAGAGAGTGAGCCGGAGAGAGAGAGTGAGCTGGCGCAGCGGGACGAGAGGAAAGGGCCCGACAGTGTCAACGTGGTGAGCATGGGGGCTGCGCGCCGCCGGCAGCAGATCCTGCACGTCGTTCGTGCACTCAACGCCACTGCGGTAGAAGCAGCGCATCCGGCGCGCGCCGCTGTTCCAGTGCAGCTGAAAGCGGAACCCATCGTACCTAGTGAGCAGTAATCTGGGGTGATCTCGGGTGATCTCGTGTTGGCGAGATCGAGCCGTCGTACTTCGTCTCGACGAACACGTCGCTCGTGCCGAGCTGCCGCGCCGCGCCGTCCAAGCGCGGGCAAGCCACGCTCAGCTGCGCGCGGATGTGCACGCCGAGGATCGGCGGCGGCGGGTACGCAGTCGGCAGCTCGCCGCGCTCCGCCGTCTCACAAACGTGCTCGAGGCCTGCACGTAAGCCACTCCGGCTCACTCCGGCGCACCGACCTCTCGAGCTCTGGCGCGGCTCGCGGCTCGCGGTTTCGGTAGCGCAGCAGCGTATAGAGGAGTGGCGGCGAGCCCTGGGACGGCCTCCCGACGCGGCCTAGAGACACGTGCACGACTCGTCCATGACACGTCCACGCGACGCCCCTCGGGCGGCCTCTCGGCGCCTTGCGCGCGGCAGAGCCCGTCCATCACGACCTATGTGGGACGTGTCGTGGACGCGTCGCGGACGACGCACGGACTCATGCGCGGCAGAGCCGCCTCCCTCCTCGCCTTTGGGTACTCGCCCTTCTGCGGCACGGGGTGGCCAGGCCGCGAGCCGATCTTGACGTCGCGCAGCAGGATGCGGACGAGCCACTTGACCTAAGGAAGCACGTCGTGACTCGTCCACGGCACGTCCATGACGCGGCAGGATGCGTCCGAGCCACTTGGACCTCGAGCGGGCCCATCGGGAGGAGCAGGCTGTGCAGGTGCCGCTTCTTCTGCTTGAGCTGCATCGCGGTGAGGGCATCGTTGACTGTCTTGACGGTCACCTGGGGCCGCAGAGGAGGGGGGGAGGTCTTGGGGAAGGGGTAAGGAGGGAGAGACGCGGCTCGGCGCCCACCGACGGCTTGCCCTCCCGCGACACCCGCTTCGCCACGTACGCCTCGAGGACGAGCGCCACGTCTCCGGTGCCTCCTGTGTCGTTCACACAGCACTCCCTGCCCCACTGCAGCGCGTCCGCCGCGTCCATCCCGTGCGCCTCAACGGTCCACGCGGCGAGCTTCTCCGACGAGATGCCGTACCTATGCGAGATCGCCCGAGATCGCCCGAGATCGAGGTTGCCCGAGATCGCCCGAGATCGCCCGAGATTGTCCGAGACACCTCCGCGTGTCATGGTGCGGCATTAGCAGCCGAAACACGTCGAAGAGCCCCGGCCGCTCGTGCCGCTGCCGCGCCTACGCGACATGGCGTGGAGAGGTCGCCCGGGTGCCGTCGTCACCTCGCGTCTCCGCCGCCGCCGCCCGCACCGAAGACGGCGCCCTGCCGCGCCAGAAGCGGTGGCATAGCTGCTTCCGCTTCTCGAGAGCGCCGGTGACGCGGAGGCCGCTCGCGTCCACGTCCTGCACCGCCTCCATCGCCTCGAAGAGCCGGCAGATCTCGTCAAAGAGCGAGAGCTCGAGGTGATCCGCGGCGGGCGGCGGCGGCAGCGCGAGTGGCGGCGCCTCCTCCTTTCGCACGATGAGCTGCCGCGGACCATGGAACTTTTTCCGGCTCTGCTGCCACAGGTTGCCGGCAATGATGGCGGCGGCAACGACGCGGTCGAGTTCGGCCTCTCTGTCGGCCATGCCCTGCGCTTTCACGATGGCTTTGGCGTCGACCGATCCGTGCTGCAGGTTTTCATATTCGCCGGCCGTTTCGTGCAGCAGCCGTCGCGAATACGGCGATAGCTGCGGCGGGAAGAAAAGCCGCGTCTCGGTGCTCGCCAGGAACAAGTCGTAGATGAGGCGAGCGACGTGCCTGGCCGCCTCCTTCTCAGCCTCGGAGTGCGGCTTTGCCGGCGCGGCGACTTGCAAGTTGGCCGGCTTCACGGCTTTCTCGGTGGAAGGTGGCAGTACCACCTTCCACCTCTCGTTCGCCAGCTCCTCGATTGCAAAGCCGGCCGTGCCGTTTAGCTCTGGCTTCTGCCGAAGGCCGTGCAGCACCACAAACGAACCCGTCTCAAGCGAATGGCCGTCCGGCTCCGACTCCGACTCCGAGGCGCCGTCCGACGAGTTGAACTCGTTCACCGCTGGTGCGCGCGCCTCCGTGGCAGCGCGAAGCACAACGTCGTTGGTCTCCATGGCGGCGGCGGTTCGCGGTGGATGAACTCAACAGGCTGTGAAAGCAAGCCCACCCTAGCGGGGGGGCACTTGCCCCGAAGGTAAGTGCGTCTGATTCACAGCTTAGGAGACAGGAGCCTTCGCCAGGTCGTGTGAAGAGCACTGATGCCGCAGTGAGTGAGTGGTCCCGGGCCCTGCGGGGAACTAAGTCGGCGCAAGTTAGCCGGGCTTGCCCAGCCTCGCTGGCGCCTTTGGCGAGGCTGGGGTGGCTGCTGGGCATGACGACATCGCAGCAATGACCTCCACGCTGCGGAACATCCGACTGGGGTTCGCACAGGAAGCCGCAGCGACCCGCGTTCAGCGGGCGATGCGCGCGCTCCTGCTGCGCAAGGGCACCATCATCATCACGATCCTCATCACCAAGATACAGGCCGCTGCGCGCGGCCTCAACACTCGCACTTCTCTGAACAACTTCTTCAAGGCCTGCCCGCCTAGCGGGCGCACCGCCGACCTCTTCCTCAGCCGCGTCTATGGCGGCCACGAGGGCGGGCGGCGGCGCGGCGGCGGCTACGTCGTCGATTTCATCTACTGTTTACGCTCCACAAGTCTTCCTCTCCCCTTCTCGGAAGCGTTGGCCCGTTTCCCTCTCGAAATCTACAACCCTTACGGCACAGTGCGCGGCTGCGACGGAACCATCGGGTTCCGCCACCAACGCGAGGCCACCGGAGAGCAGCTGTGCCTGCCTCCGCCCTCGTCCCCCTCCTCCCCCCGTGAGTCGCCCTGCCCCAGCCGTCCAGAGCACGACCTCTGGCGGGCCAGCCAGTCACTTGATGACACCTCGATGGGCACCAAGAAGAAGGCCAAACAAGGCAAGAACTTCAAGGCCGCACAGGCGGCGGCGCAGAAGGCTGCGGCGGCGGCGGCCGCTGCAGAGGCGGCTGCTCAGGCGGCTGCTCAGGCCGCTCAGGCGGCCGCTCTCGGACGGTACAGGTTGGTCAACGCTTGGTACTACCCTCGCGGCGACTGGTACACCTTCTACTGGGACGGCAGCACGGCCGACAAGGTCGCAAGGCGCGCTACCTACCCGACGCTCGAGCACGACGACCACGACCCCGGCCCCCTCGCAGAGCGCATCAGGCGCGACAAGCGCGAGTTCTCCATTTTCGGCGCAGAGCGCATCAGGCGCGACAAGCGCGAGTTCTCCGGCCGCTCCTCCGACGACTCCTCCTCCGACCGCGACTCATGCGGCACCGGCTCCACTAGCGAGGCGAATGACATATTCGACACCCTCGAAGACCATCTCGGCTACGGTTCCGACTCCGGCTCCGGCTGGTAGTCGACAAGCTGCCGAGCGCAAATCACTCTGTGTGACACATTTCTTGTTGGCTTCTAAAAATCTCTCTCTCTTAGTCTGTGAGCTGGACGAGGGCTAGTGGTGCGCCGTGGCGGATCAAGTGGTGAAGTGCTCCCCCGGGAGTCGTGGTCGGAGGCCGGGACACTACGCGCACTAACTTAGTGTGCGGAAGTGAGTGCCTCCGGCCGGCCGGGGGGGAGTGGTCCGGCGGGCCGCTCGCAGTGCCCTTCGCCGGCGGACGGAGAGGTGGGCTCGGCTACCACGCGCACTAAGTTAGTGCGCGTAGTGAGTGGGCCGCCGGCGAGTGGGCTAGTGGGTTAGTGCCTCCTGCCACCCCGCGCGCACTAAGATAGTGCACGTAGTGAGTGGGCCGCCGGCGAGCGGGCTAGTGGGTGAGTGCCTCCTGCCACCCCGCGCACTAAGATAGTGCGCGTAGTGGGTGGGCCGCCTTCTAGTGGTCGGCGAGGCCGTGGCCAGTGCCCCGGCCCTGCGGCGCCGCCTAGTGAGTGAGTGCTCGCCGACCCTCCCCACACTAAGTCGGCATCGGTGCTTTGTTTTTTAGTTGGCGAAGGCTCCTGTAGGAGAGTAAAAGCAATCTGCGCACGAAAAAAGAATTGTATCTCGCTCTCACAGCACACTGGCACACAAGAAAGAAGACGCGCGCCGCCTGGTTGCGAACGCAGTTCCGAATCGCCAAAACTATGCCGCTGCGCCTCGACGAGCTCCCGCTCGAGCTTCTCGTCCTCACGCTGCGCGCGCTCTCGGCACAGCAGCTCTGCTGCTGCGACGCGACGTGCAAGGCACTCCACGCCGCCGCCCGCGACGAGAGCCTGTGGCGGAGCCTGTGCGAGCAGCAGTGGCCTTCCGGCCCAAACCTGTCCTCGTGCCGCGCGTCCTTCTCCTCGGCGAACGGCTTTGCGCACCTGCGACGGCTGCCGCGCCGGGTGATCGACGTCGTGGAGCGTAAAGACGGGCCAGGCCGCCGCGCGGGCCAGCGCGATGTGCCAGCACAGGTCACCTCTGTGGACGCCGATGCAACCCGGCTGGTCGCCTCCCTCAACGCCAAGGGCGGTGCGTACGGAGAGGTCGTCTGTCTCTCGCGAACAGGCGTCCGGCGGTGGAGCCTTCAGCTCGGCCGCCTGCTCAAGGACGTCCGCATCGTCGGCGAACACGTGCTCGCCCTGCACGCCGACACGGACTGGGAGCCGAAGCTGGCGGTGGTCGGCGCGAACGGCGCGTTGCGCGGGCAGCTCTGCTCGCTGCCGGCAGCCTCGGCCGGGGCCGTCCCCGCAGGCTGGGGCAGCTACCATGGCCTCGCCGTGCCTCCCTCGCAGCCCGACACCGCGCTCGCCTACAGTGTGAGCGGCTGCTGGTGCGCAGTCGACCTGCCGACTGGCGCGACGCTACTGCACGCCGACGCGGGCCACCTCGGCTCGCCCGACGCTGAGCACTACTCGCTCTGCGCCGACCCGCTCCACCCGCACCTCGCCACCGCCGCGTGGAGGGCCGGCGCGCGGAGCTGGCTCGGGCGGGTGGACGTGCGGTGCGGGGCCGGCCTGCAGGCGGTCCTCCGCACTCACCCTGATGATGAAGACCTGTCACCCTGAGATGATGAAGCCCTGTCACCCTAGTCACTTCATCACGAGCAGCACCCGGACCGCAGGCGTTGCTCTGCACGCGCCACTCGGGCCTGCTGCGAGTCGGCGCCGGGCGAGAGCACCGCGTGCTCACCTCGCACGCCCGCTGCAAGGAGATCGAGGTCTGGGACGTGCGAGGACCGCCGCCCACCTCTCTCGCCGCCTCCCCGCCCGCCCGCGTCCGGCCTCAGTGCGCAGCCCAGCCTGACGGTAGGCTTCTCGAGCAGCCACGACTCGGAGCATGCGCGCTCGTCGCAGCCCCGCGTCGAGGCGTGGCGCTGCGCGGGCAACGGCCCCGACTTCGACTTCAACGACGGCGTCCTCGCCGCTGTCTCCGCCGGCGCGCCAGGCACGAGCTTCGGCGCGAAGCTGCACGTCTTTGCTGACGCCCCTCGCCGCATCACGGCCGACGTGCCGCTCAGCGAGATCGTGATCGACGATTCCTACCGGCACACGTGCCCGCGCGGCATCCGGGTCGGCGGGGGTACGATCAGTCTCATCGCAGACCGGCGGAGGGCGATCCAGTGCCTTGTCGCCGAGACTTCTGTAGAAAGTGTCAGACTGTGATGTCGTTTTTTACGTCGGTCGTCTTGATCTTTGCTTGAGGGCACCGCTGGAGGAAAAAAATAATAAGTTATTAGTGAGAAGGGAATCCACAGATAGTGGGATGGCTCCATAAAAACGAGACGACATCAAGGACCAACCACACTAAGTGAGAAAAAGCCGCTTTCGATGCTCCTGCTGGTTGCTAGTGCAATTGCTGCTCCGATCCCAACCTCTCTCTCGCACGACGAGGTCTCTCTCTCGCCCGACGAGAAGCGCGGCGGCCTCGTGCTTGCGGCTACGGGCCACAACGCCGCCGCCGCCGTGACCATGGCTTCCAACGATTACAAGGTCGCGGCGATCCATCAGGCAGGCGGCGTCGGCAACGGCAACGCCGCGGCCGTCCACATGGCGTCGAGCGGTCACGAGGCACTCGCTATGCACCAGCTGAACAAGGGCCGCATGCTCGAGGGCGACGTCGAGTCATCGACGCTCGCAGACGTCGAGGCGAATGGGGAGGACGCGCCAGACGAGAAGCGAGGCGGCCTGATCCTCGCTTCGACTGGGCACCACAACGCTGCTTCCGTTCACATGGCGTCGAACGGGCACAAGGTCGCGGCGCTCCACCAGGCAGGCGGGCTTGGCAACGGCAACGCGGCGACCGTCCACGTGGCGTCGAACGGTCACGGAATGCTCGCGATGCATCGGCTGAATGGCCGGTGAGGGAGAGAGCCTCAACCAACGAAGCCAGCCCACACGCTAGATGGATCCGACGTGATCCGGGTGGCAGACCTCTCCTCGTACGCACCTTCAGTTGAGTAGCTGTGCCTGCGGACCACAGCAGTCAGCACCTTCGATGATCGCTCCCGCCGCTCGATAAGATGTTCGCAGCAGTGTGTGGGGTTTCGTCGTGTCCAGTAGCAGTAGAGCCCAGCTCTCCCGCGCCGCTCCGTCGCGGACTCGCGCCTGCCCACACGTGCGCGTGTTTCGCTGTACGCTGATGATGTGGGGCGGGATCTTACGTTTGTCAGGATCTTGATTCACCACGGCACGCCCTACATATACTATTTCCCTCCTCCTTCCACACCCTTACAATGGTCAATGCGCACACGCTCAGTACAGTACTCCTTAGCCACGCTTATCGAAAGGACCCGGCACGCAAGCTCTGCTTTGAGACGAGCGACGCACGCAGTTCCTCAAACTGCCGCCCGACCACGTCCTCGAAACGCCGGAGCTGCTGCCACGTCTCGCGCCGACGAGCCCACACAAACTGCACCAGCGCCGCGTCGTCAGCGTCGTTGGCCAAGTCTTGCAGCGTCTCACTGTACGTCCTCGCGAGGTAGCACGAGATCCACAGCTGGATGAGAAGGGTTCCCATCACCCCGAGTAGCGTGTGGTGCCTCGCCTCGATGCCATCGCACCCGAGCTCCCTCGCACGCGCCTCGACGGCGTCGATGTCGCCGCGTTCAAGCAAGCGGCACGCCGTGAGCTGCTGCTCATACGACGAAAAGTACATCACGAAGAAAGTGCAGACGTTCGAGAGCGACCACAGTTGGTTGATGTAGAAAAAGGTGAGCGCACCATGCTAGCAGCGCCGGACACACCTCCGATTGGACTCGGTTAGCGTGCAACCCAAGAGCGTAGTGGACCGGCAGGTTGCCCCAAAAATCGCGCAGCCTGCTGCTCCTCTTCTCAGCGTCCGCCGCAAGCAGCACGTTGACGATGGCCGGCGGGTATCGGAATCGGACAGCGAGGTGGAGCGGCGTCTCTCGCGTTGATTTGCTTTGGGTGTACACGGCGTCAGGGTGCGCACGAAGAAGCATGCTAATCAAGGCCACGGCCCGAGTCTCATCCCAAGATGGGGGCCTCATCGTGTCTGCCCCAATGCGAGGGCCCTGTACGGCATCATGAAGTGGTAGGAAGCCGAATCGTGGACCAGCGCCAGGTCCCCGTGGCGTCGCGGCTGCGGTAGGAACGCTTGCAAGGAGAGCGTGCGCACACTCGATCTGCAAGTCCATGGCTGCATGATGCAGCGGCGTCGCACCATCTTCGTCGTGCGCGATGACGGCAGCACCGTAGGACCCAATGAGGAGAGACACCATCGGGAGATACCACGCGTTTGGTTCGCCAAGACACGTATGCGCCCGCACAGCGCGGTGAAGTGGCAGGTCGCCATCGGGGCCGAGCAGCTGTGCTGCGTGCGGTGCCATGTCGAGAATCGCCTGCACGTTGTCAACACCGGTCGGCGGAGCCATGTCCGGTCCTTTGACAGCCAGCCAGAGCACATGCAAGTAGTCAACATCAGGCCCCTCGTCCTCCTCTTCCGTATCAGGATCTGTCTCCCACAGATACAGTTGACGCTCGACGACCTCACGCGGTCTCGCTGCCATCCGCAGACGGAGCGCGGCTGCGGGCGCATCGGCTAGCACGAGCTGGCGAGCGGTGAGGTTGTCGGCCTGCCAGCCAGGACTCCGCAGGACCATCACTGCAGCGTGGCGCCATGAGACGCATACGGCCCTTGCTGCGAGGAGCGATGCTGGATCGAGTGCGCACAGAGAAAGGAAGAGGCAGTCGCCGGAGAGCGCGGATAGATCTCCGAGGGAGAGATTGTGCAGGTACACGCGTACACGCAGAAGGCTGCGCAAGCAGCGCACTGCGAATCGACCTGACGTCCCGTCATAGCAGAGAACTTCCACAGCCATGCCGTTAAGGTCGGTTCGGGCTGTCAATCCGTGGATTAGCAACAGCGATCCCGCGGTAACTCATAGCTCTTTCTCGGTTAATCTGGTACATGCGCGGCGCCGGGCCGGGAGTGTGCAATAACCAACTCCCTCTTTCGCGACACATGCTATCTAATTGTGGTCCTAGCCTATCCGATCGTCTCAACGGCATAGCACGGTGTCCGCTCCACGCCATAGAGCCGCAGCCGTGACGCGTGGAAGTTTAGCAACGAAGGGCGATGCCCGACCGACAGGTACGTCAGCCCCTCGAGCTGGCCGAGCGCGTTGTATAGTAGGGCCTCATTCTCCAGGTCGAGAGCCGAAGTGGCCTCGTCGAGGATCGCGAGGCGCGGCTTGCGGAGGAGGACTCGCGCGATCGAGAGCCGCTGTTGCTCACCCAAGCTCAGTTCGTCCGCCCAGTCGCGCACGGCGTCCAGCCCCGCTGTCCCCTCACTCGCGAGCCGTGTGAGCTGCACCTCGCCCAGTGCACGCAGCAGCGCGTCGTCGGTGCCCGTCCACTCCTACATCCGAGACACAGCCGAGATGTGGCCGAGATATGGCCGAGACAGCAGCACGGCGCCCGACCACTCCTCGAGCGGCCGCGGGTACACGAGCTGCTGGCGCAGCGAGCCGAGCGCGCAGTACGGCCGCTGCGGCAAGAACATCGTGTCCGCCGTGAGCGGGCGCGTCACGATGCCGGAGCCGCGCGTCCACAGGCCGGCGATCGCGCGAAGCATCGACGACTTGCCGGCGCCAGACTGGCCAGTGACTAGCAGGTGCTCCCCGCAGCGCACGGTCAGCGAGACGTTGGCAAAGAGCAGGCGCGATCCGTCGGGCGTGAGGAGGCTCAGGTCGTCGATCGCGAGCGCACGACTGCCCGAGAGGATCGCAAGCTCCAAGTTGTGAATCCCGTCGGACAATGGCAGCGGCGACGGCGAGGGTGGGGCGGGCACCGGCGGTGTCGATGGCGCCGCGCTGTCGCCCTTGCCGAGCATTCTCCAGAAACCGGGCGGCCCATCCCCAGCAGTCTCTACCAGCTTGGCGCGCTGCGCCTCACTCAGGACGAACGTGGCGTTGCTCGCGTTGCGCTGGTAGCCTTCCATGCGCTCGACAAATGCCGTGAGGCGGCGGAGGCCGGCGGAGAATCTCGAGATGCCCTCGAACTCGTTGACGATGAGCGAGAGGTCGTCGAGGATGCTGTTGAATGCGCCCGAGCTCTGCGTGATCACTCCGAGCTCGATGGTGCCCGCAAAGTAGAGCGGCGAGACCACCAGGACCGGCAGAATCTGGATGGCGTACCGGTAGGCAGTGGTGAAGAACTCGAGGTTGCGCTGCGTGCCGAGGACCGCACGCCGGCCCTCGACGGCACCCTCCAGCCGGTCGCGCACCTCCCTCGCCTCCTGCGCCTCGCCGCCGTAGAAAGCGATCGACTCGGCGTTCTCGCGCAGCCGGACGAGCGAGTAGCGCAGGTTGGCCTCGCGCAGCAGGACCTGCGCGTTCTGCCCGACCAGCGTCTTGCCGAGCTGCAGGGTGGTGAGTGTGCCGAAGGTGGCATAGGCGAAGATCACGTAGAAGAGCTCGGGGTAGATGGAGTACAGGATGCCGGAGAAGGAGACCAGGTCGATGACGGACGTCATCAGGTCGATGCCAAAGTCGAGCGAGACAGCCGTGAACGCCTTGATGTCCTCTGTCAGCCGCTGGTCCGGGTTGTCCACCCGCGGGTCCAGCTCGATCTGGTAGAAGGTCTGGTCCGTGCAGTACTGCCGGGCCAGCTCGGTCGTCATCCACGCGCGCCAGTTGAGCGCCAGCCGCGACCGTTGGAACCGAAAGAGGACCGTGAGGGGCGTGGCGACGGCCAGGCCGACCGCAAAGTTGGCGGTCTTCTCGATGAAGAGCGCCTGGTCCTTGGCGGAAAGCGCAGAGTAAAAGTCGCGCCCCACATACGAGAAGACTACGGACACGCCGGCGTCGATCAACACGAGCAGCAGCAGCAAAGCAAACTGGAGCTTTGCGCCCTCGGCTTGCTCAAAGTAGGGAACGGCCAGCCTCCGGAAGAGTCGGAGCTGTTCTTTCAGAGGCACTCGCTGGTCGTCTTCGTCGGATGCCATCCGCAATACGGAGCGGGGTGGCGTCATCGACACGCCGCTCCACGCAGACGCGCAGCGTGGTGGTGGAAGGCCGCTCCACGCTCGAGAAGCGCAGCGTGGCACGGCAGGCGGTGCTCCTGCTCTGCGCGCCCTCGTAGACAGCGCTTGCAGAAGACCCACAGCCGGCTGGGCAAGGCCACAGCAGCAGCATAGCAAACAAAGCCATCTTCGACGGCACCTCATGGCGGGACTCGCGGCGCGATCGACACAGAATTTTTTCCCGCCCCTGTGTCCTCCTCCCGTCCATCGAAGCTCGCGCGCTGCGCAAAGCTGGAACTCTCCTGACCTTGAGCGTCGTGACTCGTGAGGCTTTTGCTGTTGCATTGCCTCTAAAAGAACAAAAAAGAAAACAAGCCCGGGAACGACGCCGGTTCTGGACCGGGGAGACTCCTGCCGCCGCCCCTGCCACCCCTGTGTCAGTGTGCCTGTGGTTGCGAGAGACTGCCGGTGAGAAGCCGGAGGAAGGTCGCTAGACTGAGATGAGACCGCCAGTAGAGTTGGGAGTCCACCGTGCACCGCGCAGCGAGCCTGTCGTGTCCCTTGTCAGGAGCAGGAGAGCCCCACCTGTGCCCCTGATCGTCCTTCCAAAATCCTGCTCGTGCAGGTGGGGACCCTGTCCGGTGTTTTTCTTCTTTCTCTTTCTGGACCGCCGCCCGCAGCAATGGGTCGCTGGTCACTCTCCTTTCTGTGTTTCGCCGCGGCGGTGGCGTGGGCCAGCGAGGAGGGCGGCGGCAGCGTGCACACGACGGAGTCGCTCCCCGACCTCGCCTTCGGGGCGCAGGTGGTGCAGCTCGACGAGAACAACTTTGAGCACCTCACGCAGGCGGCGACGGGCGCCACCTCGGGCGACTGGCTGGTTCTCTTTTGCAAGGAGTCGGTGCCGCGGTGCGCGCGGATCGTCACCACGTGGGAGAAGATGGCCGTCTCGCTCACCGCCTCGCGCGAGGCCCGCGGGATGCCGCGCATCAATGTCGCCTCGGTGGACACGTCCGACTCGCCGTGGCTGACGAAGCGGTTCGGCATCACGTCGGTGCCGCTGGTGCTGCTCTTCAAGGGCGGGGTGATGTACTCGTTCCACGGCGGCGGCTTCTCGATCGAGAAGCTGCAGCACTTTGCGGAGCGCGACTACTCGCGCTCGTCGCGCATGCTCGTTCCGCCCGAGCCTCACGTCGCGACGCCGCACGACCAAACCTTCCTCTGGACGATCGGCACAGTCGCGGTCGGCGCCGGCCTGCTGTGGATCGTCGACCAGCTGCTCGCTAAATATTACGCGTTGCAGAAGCGCCGGACCAAGCGGCTGAAGCGGGAATCGAAGGCCAGCTGAGGGCGGCGTCAGGGCGGCGTGGGCCTCCGCGGGCAACCCGCGCGTCCAGTCGTCACGCTCACGGCGCCACGTACGGATCTGGCGCGCAGCTCACCAGTTTCCGAAAATCTTTTCCGCCCCCCCCCGGTTGGTCCTCAGTTGGTCGCGATGCTAGCGCCAGTGACACCCAGCCAAGTCTGCGCTGGACAGCTCGAGCAGCCGGCCGGCGTCGCGGCAGAGCTCCGCGGCACCGCGAGGGCCTGCGAGTGTCTGTCTGGGAAGTGTCGCTCGAGATGGGGCTGCTGCTGTTGCTAGCTGCATTCTTCGCAGTCGCAGCGGCATCGCTCGCCGTCCTCCTCACCTATCGGGCATTGGTGATCTCGCACATCCCGAAGCAGTGGGGCAATCCGATCATTACGCTCCTGTTCGGCAGCTTTGGCGACGGAACAATCCCAGACATCTTTACCCGCCACCGTTACCTCGTCGAGCTGCAGCGCAAGTTCGGCGCCATCTGCTGCCTGCTGCAGCCCCTCTGCAAGCCCGTCATCTTCATACACCCGGAGAGGGGCGAGCCGCTGCCCTCGTGGTGGTCGACGGCCAAGACCTTTCGCGGGCCGTTTGGAGACCGCTCCTTCGGCGTGCCTCACTCCCTGCTCGGCCTTCCGGCGGGGCGAGAGTGGGCGTCCCACCGCAAGATTGTGGCGCTCCTCTTCTCGCGCCGCTCGCTCGAAGGCTGCATGGGCGCGATCCACGCGTCGACCGAGGAGCTCGCGAAGCTCTGCGAGGCGGGAGGCGTGCTAGACCTCTACCCGCTCCTGCACGCGTGGTCGCTCGACGTCATCGGCCGCTGCGCCTTTGGTCACGAGTTCGGCGCGCTCGCCGCGACCGCCGGCGGCGAGGCGTGCGCGTTCACTGCGGCCGCCGCGCTTCTCAACGACGGGATGGTCAAGCACCAGGCGTTCGGCTATATCTCGGCTATATCTCGGCGATGTCTTGGAGGCACCTCGGGCTATGTCTCGGATGGCCAAGTACCAGGTGCTCGGCCCGCTGGCGCACCTGCTTGGCTGGCTGCCGGCTTGGGCGAGGCCGCGGTACTGGCGGCGCGTCGAGGCGGCGCGGCGGCTCTACGCGGGCACCGCCGAGGCGATCGTGGGTCGCATCCGGTGCGGCGGAGAGGCTTCGGGGCCGGTCGTCTCGAGCTTCTGCGCGACCCTCTCCCGCGCCGCGTGGAGTGTGGAGGAGGTCGTGGACGAGGTGGTCGGGCTGCTGCTCGCAGGAGGGGGCCCGGCCAGCCCAGTCACCCAACCCACTCGCCACTAGCAGCACGTAGTCGGGCTGCTGCTCGCAGGAGGGGGCCCGGCCCGCACCCACGCGCACGCCTCCACCCGCACGCGTCGCGATTCCCTCTCCCGCGCCCCGCCATAACCCCGCCCCCTCTCCGCGCCCGCCCCCGCCCCGCAGGCCACGAGACGTCCTCCAACACGGCCTGCTGGGCGCTACACCTCCTCGCCACCAGCCAGCCGCAGCAGGAGCGGTGCCGGGCGGAGGTCGACCGCGCCTTCGAGTCGGCCGAAGCTAAGTCCGAAGCGGCGGGCACGTCCTCCTCCTCCACCCGCCTGTGCGCCCGACTCTTCCGCCGCGGGGGCAGCGGCCTAGCTCGCGCCCTCCTCACCGCCCGCGGCTCCACCGCGAAGGTCGCTGGGCGAGCTCGAGTCGAGCTGCCCTCTCCTCCTCGGCTGCGTCTACGAGGCCCTCCGCCTCTTCCCGACCGTGCCGACCACGCCCCACATCGCGCCGCGCGGGGCCCAGCTGCACGGCCTCCCCATCCCAGAGGGCTGCCCCGTCTCGCCAAACAAGGCGGGGCCCAGCCACAGCCTACCGCCACACCGCCACAGCCCGTCCGTCTCCGCTCCCCTCACACACACCCTTCCTTCTCCGCTGCCCTCACTGCCCCACCCCGCTCCCCCGCTGCCCCCGCCCCGCGCCCTCACTGCCTCGTCCTGACCGCGAGCCAGGTTGCGCTCGGCCTCGACCCGAACCTCTTCTCGCAGCCTCACGCCTTCGACCCGGAACGCTACGCGCGCGGAGAGCACGGCCCGCACGGCGCCGCGCTCGCAACCTTCGGCGCCGGGCCGCGCATCTGTGTCGGGCTGCGCCTCGCCGAGACCGAGCTCTGCGCGCTGCTCGCGCTGCTGCTGCGCCGCTTCGAGATCGAGCCTGCGGGGCCGGCGCCTCGAGAGTGGTGCGCCGTCACAAACTCCCCAAGGCAGAGCGGGCTGTCCCTGCGGCTCGTGCCCCGGGAATGGGGAAAGGGATAGTCGCGGCTTGGTCAACCTCAACGAGACGAGGTGACGACTCTTGCGTGGTAAGGTCCTTATATAGTAAGTGTGCGGCCGGTGTGTAATCTTGTGTGGAGCGCTCATGTGTCGTCCATGAGCTGTGTATGCTGTATTACTCCCTGTACGGGGTGTGGACCCTGAGAGTTGACCAGGGGTTGTGCGCTGGGCCCTCCTGCTCGGCTCCAGCCAGTAGACAAGTATTGTCATCAACAGAGTAGAAGGATCTGACCTCGGGGCCGATGTGACCAAGCGCTGGTAGCGTGGTTTTACCTCACACCCATGGTCTCACAGTGTGCCGGCAGTCGTCGAGCAGTGTCGCTCACACAAGCCGCAGCACAAGTGACTGAGGGCCAGTGAGGGCGAGCCCATCGCTGTCACAGCTGTGGCAGCCGCACAGTAGGCTGTGCCAACTGTGCAGAGCGTGTGAGCAGCAGAGGAGCTGCTCTCCAGGCTTCTGTCGCAAAGAGCTGCATGCCACCGTGAAAGCCGCTGTCGAGGTTCGCCGAGCGCGGCGCAGGTTGGGGGACACCGTCACCGACGAGTGCGTTGGACTTTTCACTCCGGACAAAGACGGGTAGACGCACACGAGCCGCGGTCGTCTACCCGTCATAGTGGCGAGGCGCGGGACCGTCGCTGTGGCGAAGTGGGTCGCGTCCTCCGATTTCCTCAACTCACGGTCCCCTCCCTCTCTCCGTGTGGCCTGTGTGGAGGCGTGTGTGCCCCGGGTGTCTCCACTCCCGGTATCTTTCGCAGAGCGCGGGTCCGGAAACTCGCCGCACGCCGGAGAATCAAAATACAAGAAGCCGAGACAGAAAGTCGGCCCCCTCGCTCGCTCGCACGGACGCTGCCGACGATGACACTCGCGCCACTCACGCTGCAGGCCGTGCTCCCCCCCGCCTCCCCCGCCCCCCCCTCGCCCGCCACCCCCCACCCTCCACTCCCTGCGCTGCTCCGCGACTACAAGAGGACGGGCGCGTACTTCTCCTTCTTGGACTTGGCCTCCCGCACGGCGTCTGCGCGGTCGAAGGCGGCGGAGAAGGGGGTGCCCGGGTCGGTCTCAAAGTCGAGCGTCAGCTTCTCTAGATCCGCCGCCTCCATCTTGAAGGCCGCGTCGTCGTCGTAGCCGCCGCCGCGCGGCCGGCGCGGCCGCCGCCCTGCCGCCTTCTCCGCCTTCTCCTCCGCAGTCAGCTCGACGTACGGCTTCATCGAGAGGCCGATGCGGCGCTTGTCGTCGAAGGAGACGACGCGGACCTGCACCTCCTGCCCCTCGGACAGCTCCGCCGCCACCGACTCGACGCCCCCCTCCTTGATCTCGGAGATGTGCAGCAGCCCGTCGACGCCGTCCTTCAGGTTGACAAACGCGCCGAAGGACTGGATGGAGCGCACGGTGCCGGTGCGGAACTCCTTCTCGTCGGCCGAGGCGAACTCGCTCAGGTCGGCCGCCTCGCGCTTCTGCCGGCGCGGCGGCGGCGGCGGCGCATTCGGGTCCTTGTTGGACAGGGCGACCTGCGAGGAGGGGGCGGCGGTCGGGTGGGAGGGGGGCGGGGGGGGGCGAGCACGGCGCGCGAGGGCGGTGAGGAGGCACCTGGCCCTTGGCGAGGTCGACGCTCTTCACGCGCACCGTCACCGCGTCGCCCACCGCGAACATGTCGTTGGCGTCCTTGACGAAGGTGTCTGCCATCTCAGACACGTGCAGCAGGCCGTCGCTCGCAAAGCCAATGTCGACAAAGGCGCCGTACTGCTGGACCGAGCGGACGGTGCCCTCGACGGTCGATCCGACCTCGAGCTGATCAAGCGGCTGCTTCTTGGCCCGCGGCTTACGCGCCGGGGCCTCGGCGGCCGCCTCTGGCGCCGCGGGCGCCTCCGCCGCAGCCGCGTCCTCCTCCATCACGGCGAGCGGGGCGCGCAGCGGCGACGAGGCGGCGCAGCGCGCAAGCGGGCTGCTAGGGACGCGGGTGAGGGGCGCGTTGAACGCGGCCGCCGCAACCACCGCCACCGCGAGGAAGAGCTCACGAAGCATGTCGCTGGAGAGCTGGCTTGGGAGCTCTCGTGTGCTAAGAAATTTATCCGCCCCACAGGACAAGGGCTCACACACACACACACACACACACACACACACACACACACACACACACACACACACACACACACATGCATGCATGCATGCACAGACACACAGCCCCTTCCCCTCCCCCCTCAAGACCTTCCCAAGGGCGAGGACACGCGCAGGCCGCACCTCTAGTGAGGCCCGCATAGACTCATGCCGATACCATCAGGCGGCAAAGGCGAGTCACGTCGTGCAGCTCAGAATAATTTTGGACGGAGGGCCTGACGCGACGATCTGCCGCAGCAGCTCCGCGCCAAGGCCCGCGGTACCGCCCGTCACTAGGACGACCTTGCCGAGCGTCGTCGACATCGGGAGCCTACTCTGTGAATTCGCGGAGCGAAGAAAATTTTATACTGAATACGTCGCTTTTGGGAAAGTTTTTGGAATACGTTGGAATACCTACGTATTCCACCTCCCCCCCCTCAGCACATATCTCCGCTGTCGCGCGCCGCGTGCTCGCGTGCGCACCGCAGCCGCTGCTCTGCGCGAGAGAGATTTTTAGCAATACCAAACGCTAGAGTTTGTTGTCTGCGCGTCGGCGGCCGAGCGCAACTGGTCGAGGGGTGGGCGGCGGGGACGCTGCTGTGAGCACGTCGGACGCCACGCGCGGGACCTCCTTACGGTGCGCGCCGCGCACGCACGCGCGCGGCTCGCACGCGCGCGTGCGCGTACAGTCTTATAGCTTATACACAGTCGGCACGCGCGTTCCGCGCGTGCCCCGCTGAATACAAATACTACCCATTCTAGAGCTGTTTTGGAATACGTGGAATACGTATTCACAGAGTAGGATCGGGAGTGGGGAGTCACGGCGAAGATGGGAGCTTGCTCGGATGATTTTTTCGAGCGTGAATGTTTCTAGGGACTCTTGAGCACTTGAGGTGAGCTAGTCGCTATAGTCGGACGGTTCCGGCACGTCTGATGTAGCGGAGGACGAATGCGTTTTCTTCAGACCGCCAAGTCGTGGGGTCCAGACTCACACGAGACTCACACACGGCCGGCGCCAAGCGCGCGTAACCACCGAGCCGCTCTCCGCCGCCGCTCCTCGCCACCAACCATGATGGTGCGTGACTCGTTTACCCCCCTCCCCTCACTACGACCAGCCTTCTCACCCACCACGCCTCGTCGCCGCGCCTTTCTTTTCTGTGTGCGGCGGGCGCCGACGCCCGAGTCCAGATGCCCGCCAACGCTCGCTCGCCGCCCCGATCACACAATCTCTCCAGCGACGTTCTCCCTGCCCAGCGCTCCCGCCGCCGGCGCTGGCTCGTCAGCTCCCCCCCGACACGTGGAGACAAGCTCCCACCATGACACACGCGGCGCGCGCATACAGCGCGCGCAGCGCAGCGCACGCGACTCTTCCTTCCTCCCTCTCCACAGATCCCCCCCTCCTCTCGCACCACTCGCTCACTGCCTCCCTTGCCACCCCTCCTCCACCAACAGGGCAACTCCGATTCCACGAACGATCTCATAAAAACTGGCGGGAGGTACATGGCCGCGCACCTCGGCGTCGCCGATGCCGACGCAGCGGTTGACTACCTCAAGACCAACGTGTTGAGCCGGTGCAGCAGCGGCTGGAACGACTCGGTCCTCCGCGACTACCTCAAGAACGACGTCTACAAGACGTTCTTCGACAACAAAAAGATTGACCACGAGAAGGCCGAGATCAAAGACGGACATGTCAAGGCTGTCGACACGTGAGTACATCCCTGTAATCCTGCAACGCCGCGCATCCTCTCACCCCCCCCCCCCCCCCCCAGCTTCCTGCGGCGTCTCTTCACTGACTACTTCGGTGAGAGCCAGCCATCCAACAAGTACTTCTCCAGCATCACGCCGAGGGCGGAGCTCAACGCGTACATCCGTGAGCAGAACAAGCGCAACAATGTCCTGGCTGGCACCCCCTTCGGCAGCGGCCGCTCGTCGACGCTCGTCGACATTGGCACGGTCTTCAGCGTGCTCCTCGTGATGTACAACATGAGCGGCACGGCGCTGTTCAAGGGCCTCAACCTCGCGGCGGGCGTCACGCTCATGCTCGCGTTTGGGCTGCGCAACATGAACGTCGAGGATGCGTCGTGGGGTTCTTTCGAGATCTTTCAGCTCGATGCCGGGGGGCGTCCGTTCTGGCCCCTCTCCAACAAGCGCTCCCCCTGGGTGGGGCGCGTGAGCACGCTCCGCAAGATGGACAAGAACGAGAGCTTGCGCGAGTTCATTCCGCACAAGAACGTCTTCTTCTGCCCGTTTGTCGCCATCTCGCTCCGCCGCTTCTACCTCCTCTCTACGAGGCAGATCGAGCTCCCCAACATGACCAACTGGATGAAGCACGAGAAGGCGGAGACGGAGGACGAGGACCGCATCAAGAGCGAGAAGGTCGTGAGCGGCATTGGCTGTTTTCTTCCGATGGTCTCCCAGCACTCGGAGGTCACGCGCTATGGCAGCACAGCTGGTCGCCACCGACGTTGTCGCCGACGCAGATGGACTCGCGCGCCCCGCCGGCCTGTGGAAGCAAGCCGCCGGCCCACTCGTCGGTGCCGGCATGCAGGCGGCTGCCGAGGTCGTTGTACTCATTGAACCTGAACCTGCGCAGCAGTGCATCCCGAAGGCACACCGCGAGCTTATGCTCGCGTGCGTCCTTCGCGAGACCCATGAACGGGACTGGGCGGAGCAACCGCGCCGGCGCCTCCGCCTCCGCCTCGCTCATGGTCCAACTTGAACAACTTGTGCGCCCCCCTGCCGCAGCGCCCGCGCGGCGCGCGCCACGGAAGCTTCTAAGAAAGGTCAGCACGCAAGTTTTGGAAGGTTTGGACGGCGATCGCCGTCAGCCGCACGGGCGATACACATGCGTTCCTCTTTGACAGGCTGTGACCCAGAGGTCCTGGGCGGTCCAGAGGCGTGCCCCACATTGCCCCGCCCCCACCCACCCTCCCCAGACCCCGCATTCTTTCTCGCGCCAACTCACATGCGCTAAACACAGAGCGGGGTACGGGTGACGACTGACCAGAAGTTGCCTGGACCTCTGGGGTGCCCCTCATGACCCCCCTGTGACTCCCCTGACTGCACCCCAGCGCTCTCATGCCCCTCCTCCCTCCTATCATCAGATCTCTCATACCGCCAGTTGGTTGCTCTGGAGGCAAGTCTCATAACTCTTTTTGCTGGAAGAGTCATTTGAGTTTGAGCAAAGGCCTTTGGGTTTGGCTCATAACTTGTTTGCTCCACAGAATAAGTTGTTCTGGAGACTTGGGATTTCAAGGCAACTAGCGGTGGGTCATGCTTGGAGGTAGCTGGGCACGTCCAGGGGCGTCGGGGGGGGCTGGGCGTCAGCGGGAGCAGTCCAGGTGACTGCCCCAACCCACGCTTTCTTTCGCAGAGCCCGGCGCGCCGCCTTGAGGGGGCACACAGTCTGTTTGCTCTTTGACTTTACCTTATCCAACCCAACTGAAACCCACAGCCACTCAGGAGAGCAGGAGGCGTGCTGCGCAAGCCCCCTCTCCCACCTGGGTGGTTCCGGGCTAAAGAACTTGACCCAGAATTTCAATGGACCCTGGGCAACGACACGCTCGCTGCGCGCCAAGTCCTCATGCTCCTTGGGGCGAGCGAGGATGGGCGGGCTGCTGCCATGCAAGAGGCGGCGGACGTGGCCAGCAGCCACACGACCACACGTTGGGGGCGGCGTTTGGCCAGCGGCTTCCTACAACTACTGCGGCGCGAACGTGGTGCAGGTACGGGTGACCGCCTCAGGGATGGAGGGGGGCGCGGGGGGGAGGGAGGGAGGGGGGGTGCGGGGGGAGGGAGGGAGGGGGGTGCGCACGAGTACCCTGTCGCGCGCGCCACGCTGCAGCCATGGCCTTTGCGCCGAAACTCGCGGAGCGCCTCGACCCTCGCCTCCATCTCGTCGCAGGTGGCCGGCCGCGAGGTGCCGCTGCCAGACAGCTTTGGCCGGCGCTCAAGCTCCGCCACACGGGCCTGCAGCGTCGTCACCTGCGTCGCCGTCACCCCCACTGAGCCCATGACGCCATCGCGGTCGGTCTCTGCGGCCTGGTGGGCAAGATATCCCCATCTCCCACCCCCACTGCTCCCTTCATGTCGCCGCCGCGTGCAAAGCCGGTTCTGCTAGGGCGCAATCGTTCGCCGGTCGAGATCTGAGCAACTATAATGCTTGGAGCTCCTCCCTCCACTTCTTGTCCCTTTCATATCGTCTTCCCCTGCTTTGCGGATCACTATCGTAGCCACTGTTGGTCGTTGTTGAGGGCTGGACCTTGTTCGATCTCATTTCGGCAATGACCGAACCCAACGCCCTTGTCTTTACTGGCGGTGTCATTCCTGATGTCTTTGCATCCACTGGCTCGCGTTCGCTTGCGAAGCCGAGCAGATGTGAGAGGTAGTTGCGTGTGTCTTGGTTGCGTAAGAGAAATATGCAAATTCCGATTAGCACCATCATCAGGACGAGTGCCAAAATCCATCCGTTCATCACCTTGATACTACCCAAAGAAAATCTCGAATAAACTCGATGTCTCCATTCTACCCCAACCTCTCCAGTCCTCCCCAATCGACTCCGAGCTGACCCTCCTTTTTTTGCTTTGGAGCGGTAATGGAGGGGGGTTAAAGGGGTGTCGTAGCGGTGTCGTGTGTGGGTCCGCGACGTTCAAGATGACGAATCATTGGATACATTCGAGTGGGTTTTTGAAAAAAATGATGTCGCACCGAGCGCGAACTATCCCAGACTATGTCGGAGCGGGGTCGGAGTGTTTTTTTATGTCGGAGCGGGGTCGGAGTGTTTTTTATTGAGTAAAAAAAATGGTGAGCTCACCAGGAAATCGTCCACCGCCTCAACCATCTAAGAAGTCGCTCCCCAGGGCTCCTGAGAATGTGGCGGCCGCACCACCAAAGAAGAAACCACCAGGAAATCCGCCACCTCAACCATCTAAGAAG